GATAAACCTCCTTCTCCAATGGTTCAGGTGAAAACGGTTGTTCAGAGTTCTGAACCAATCGTCAAAAAGGTGGTTGATGGAATTGATATTGAGGATCTTACCAACATTGAATCTCCTACCCCAGCTCAACCTAACATACCGGACCAAACAACTGCTCATACTATTACCACTACTGCTGGTGGTTCCGACATAAGCGCTCCTGGTCTTATCTATCAATCCAATCAGTGGATCGAGCGCCCTAATGAGAGGATACCGGAGGTTGACCTCAACGGATTCTCTGTCCCTCTCAGCCATTCTGGGGACAAATGGAAACCTGCCATAGACGCATGTCGGAATGAGTCAATGATGACCGATGACCCTATGCTTGGTGGAACTCTTGGTTATCGTCTTTTAAGTAACTTGACCCTCCCAATGGATAGGCCTGCTGGTGTCATCGGCCCTTTGGCTGCTATGCACATGCATAACATGATGAAGGTTCTCGCCCTTTAACATTGTAGCCTTTATTATATTTTGATATTTTTTATATTATTATATATTTTTTTTACTAACTTTTTGCCTTTATTACTACACAGGCTGTTATGTCTGGCACTGAGCTTGTTGAAATGTACCGTTATTACCAAGAATAGCACCATCAAGCCTCTGCTAGCCAAAACGCACTTCAAACAGCCCTGGATAACGCGGATAAGGCTCTGCAGAACTTAAAGGAGGCAAAAGAAAGAGATGATCTTGAGATGTCATCTCTCAGGGATAGAGCTTCTAAGGTTGGGGATCTTCAGTTGGAATTTCAGCAACTAAAGACCCAAATTACTGAGAAGAACAAAGTTATCAGCCGCGTTCCTACTCTTGAGAAGGATCTCGAGGCTGCCAAGGCTTCCATTCATGATCTTGAAGAAAAAGTCAAAAAATTGGAGGTAGATAAGCCTAGAGTCCGGCAAAGGGCAGTTAGACGCTTCTTGACATCTCAGGAGTTTTGCACACGGCTTCAGAATCGTCTTGAAGGGGGGTGGACTGCTGCCCAAAGATGTATCGCCCATGCTGTCGGCTGGAAGAAAGAGGATTGGACTGCCGTTGAAAAGGCCTTTAACGAAGAAGCTTTCAAGATTCCATCTGGTTTTGAGGAGCAAGAGTTTTCGGACGAAGACCTTTTCAACCTTGCTCCAGCAGATGATGAGGGTGTTTCAGATCCCAGCATCCTGGATTCTCCAGCTTCCGGAGGTACACAAGCTTAAAGGGGCGGGCAGTCATCACCGGCATCTTCTTGCGGGTCTTGTGTTTTCGGGCCTTATCAGCTTTGACTTAAATCCTGTATTTATTTATTTTTGTTTGACTCTGTATCTGTAATGCTGCTATATCGGCATATGCCCTTTTTTGTGGTGATGCCTGTCGACTATTGCGTCTAACTACTTTGACCATTCCATATCAACCTGAACATGTCACATCTATTTTAAAACTTTTTCTTAATTGACCTTCCTAATATGTCATGTACTTTTATATTTGCGTTATCGTCTATAAAAATTATCATGTACTTTTATATATGCCTTATCGTCTTTAAAAGTTTTTATCAGCTATCAGCTTTCTTTTTACATTTGCTTCACCGCCTTATGACTACCAGATTTTATTACTGATTTTATTACTATCAGCAACTTTACCATAGCAAAATACATAAACTTATACGTTAAAAATAATTCAAGCACAAACTTATGCGTAGATGCTATATCCATTCTACCCCCCACAGTGTATATGGTTAAGAAATAACTATATACACTTTTTGCTGGTTCATTGCATAGCCTTGATCACTTACTGCGCTATGTTGTAGCCAGTGAAGTATCCTCTCGGCGATCGTATTCAAAGTTATGCTTCAATTCAGCATATACCTGAACCGATTTAACCGGTATTACACATTGAACCAACAACCTCGCTGGTACGACTGTCGCGTGTCTACCAAAAATAAACCTAACTCCAACCTCCTAAAATGTAGTAGGGTAAGCTAGGGTCGATCCCACAGAGAATTGGTTTATTAAATTATAACTTGTGTAAGTTAGAAACCCCTGTTTTGAAGAAATAGTACTACGATCTAATAAATAAACTACTATGAACTATGGGACAAATAAAGTACGAAAGATAGACTACTAAAATTGAAATACGATAAAAATCAATAATAATAAAACAGGGATCGGGAGACATATTATAGCATTGGAGTATTTATTGATCATCGAATTATAAAAATTATGTTCTTATCTCAATGTTAGCCGATGAACGCAAACAAACATTCAACACTTCCCTTAATTACAAATAAACCAAACAAGCTCTTGGAGTATTGTCTAACTAACTAACTAACAATCTATAACAAGCTCTCTAGACTCGATTAATTAGTAGCATTAATAACTAGGAAGTAGCTAACTTAAGCCACAAATCACACAAGCTCGGATTTGTGCAACTTAAAGGGTTGATAATCTTAGGCATTAAAACAAGTTTTAGTCACCCATTAACCCCTAATTGCAACTAAGGAGTACTAACCCGGATAATAACGTATCACAAGTTACTACTCTAGCAATTAAATTAGCAAACTATACTAAAGATGGCCGGTCTAAAATATAACTTGACTAACTCATATCAATAAAAACAGATCATCAATCCAATCAAGAAATAAACATAATATTCTCAAATCACAACATACTTATTCTCACTGTACAATAATCCAATGCATCGTATATCTCCCTTCCCGTATTAAATTTAGCCTAACATACTAAAAATTGAAATAAAAACAAAGAAAGATTTATAAATCATACTGCTAGATCAGACATACATAATCGAAATGAAAATCGGTAGAAAAAAAATAAAACATTCAACAAAAGTCTAATTGAAATTGCTCTAAACCACCTAATTTAACAAAAAGAATAAAAAAAACGAAAGCAAAATTAATTGGCAGATCCTATTACTTATTTGCAACAAATCATAAATTGCCAAATTACTACATGCAAATCTATAAACTAAGAGTGTAAATTAAAAGTACCAAATTCCTACAACTGAGAATGGGAAGTAGTTGCGAACAACACCCAAAGCAGGCTGCTCTCCTTCGCTGTTCTTCCTCTCTGTTCAGCTACTTCACCTCCTCTGCTACGCTACTTTGCAGTAGCTTCGCGAGCCCAGAACACAACCCCAACCAAGTTTGCTGATTTCGTAGCAATTGGAGCTCAAAAACGCTTCAGCTTCCTTCTGGTTCTGTTCTGAATTCCGCTGCCCAGCAATTCCCGTAGCAAAGAAGAATTACAGAACACAGCTAAGTCACCTCGACTCCGGCTGCTTCGCTTCACCGCTGCTAAACTGCTCTGAGGTCGTTCTCCTCTTTTTTTGTTGCCCAGAATGTCCTCTCTTATCGCATGCAATTCGGCCTCCCTTCTGTTTCGGTGTAGCTCATCTCCAGCTAATCCGAATTTCTCGCTCCAATTTTTTATCCAATTTCATCTTTATCTCTTGCTTGACATTTCAATCCCAGAAATTTCGCTCAAGGTGATTTGAGGGTCCTTGATTTTCGGTTGCCAGCATAGGATGTATGGTTGGATGCGTATTGTGAAGGCTGCTGCTATTTTCAGGGGTTTTCTTTTGTAAATACAATCCCATAAAACCAAATGAACACTTTATAAAAAAAATAAGATTAATACGTGTGACTTAGCCCGGAAATATAAAGTAATCCATTTGGTGCCGAAATTCTCCTTCCCGTAGACAATTAAATAAATAGTAGTAACTCATGTCTTGAAAGGAAAATTGCATAATATACACTTAAATTATAACAAAAATCAATATAACATCAAGAGTTCAATATATATAAATATTATATTTTACGATCCTATCACTCGCGAATCAATGTTTATAACTGATCAGGCTATAAGCTCATTGTCTTCACGGAAGTGGTTTTCAGATATCCATCCTACATAACGATATTATGTTAAGTAGAGGATGCCTATATCATGAAAATTTTTCTTCGAAACTGCTTGTATTTATTGTTGATATTTTTCAGAATACTTAACATTGCTTATCTTTCTAATTACAACGTATTATGCAAAATATTTCTTTAATACAGTTGTGTTCCAAACATTCTTTAATGGCTTTCCATCCATTGTTTCTAGGAAATATGAACCCTGCATTACCATATCTCTAATACGATAAGGTCCTTCCCAATTTGCCGTCAACTTTCCGTCCTCATTCCCTTTCCCTGTTGCAGCTGTTCTTCGTAGTACAAGATCTCCTATAGCAAGAGGACGATGATTGACCTGCTTGTTGTAAGCCCTTGTCATTATGTTCTTATAGGCAACTGATCTAATTGCTGCTTTTTCACGCACTTCTGGTAGGAAATCTAATTGTTGCCGTAATAAAAGATCGTTCTGCTATTCACAATAGTGTTGAATTTTAAATGTTGGCAACCCTACCTCTGCCGACACTACTGCTTCTGTTTCAAAAACCAATGTGAAAGGTGATTCACCTGTTGCTTCTTTGGCCGTTGTTCTATTAGCCCACAATATTTCTGGCACCAAGTCAGCCCATAACCCCTTTGCATCTTCTATCTTCTTTTTAATTGCCGTTATTATTTGTTTATTAGCTGCTTCCGCCTGTCCATTCGATTGCGGATAACACACTGCTGCATATGCAAACTTAACCTTGTACATTGATAAGAGCTCTTTTACCGGCTTACAATCAAACTGAGATCCATGGTCGAAAACCATGGCCATCGGCAATCCAAACTTCGTGAAAATGTTTTTCCAATTGTATTTTTTTACCTCTGTTGCTGTTATCTTTGCTACCGGCTCAGCTTCAATCCATTTTGTGAAATAATCAACAACCACCAATAAAAATTTCCCGCCGCCTGTTGCTGATGGAAACGGCCCTACTATATCCATTCCCCATTGCGCGAAAGGAACTGGATTTAATATCGGTGTTAAATCATTTGGAGGTAGGTTGATAGCTGGCGTGAACTTTTGGCATTTTTCACACGCTTTCACATATCAAACCACATCTTCATTCATGGTCGGCCAGTAGTAGCCTCTCCTCATTGCTTCTCTTGATAGAACTCTCGGTCCGAGGTGATTGCCACATGTACCCTCGTGTATTTCTTCAATCAACCTTTTCGACTCAAGGTCACTTATGCACCTCATCAATGGTAATGAAAAGCTTTTTTTATACAATTGTCCTTGATGCATAATGAACCATACACTATCCTTTCGTAACTTTCGTGATTCTCCCTTATCTGCCGGTAGCACCCCATGGACGAGATATGCTAGTATGTTATCATACCATTGGGTGGCTCTATCAACACAAAGCACTTGTTCTGGTGCTTCATCTATACTCTTCTCACCCAAAATTTCAACCATCACAGTTCTTTCTAAGTTATTAAAACTCGAACTTGCCAACCTTGCTAAAGCATCTGCTTGCGCATTTTGGGCTCTCGGCACAAGCTTTATTTCAAAATACTGCAGCTGTGCCGTCAATTGATTTATCTTTTCCAGTTATTTAACCATTGCTGACTCTCGTGTCTCATACTCCCCATTGTATTGACTTCACACGAGTTGGGAATCAGTTGTAAGCACTAAACGCTTTGCCTCGACTGCAATAGATAACTGAATTCCTGCCACCGCTGCTTCATACTCAGCTTCATTGTTTGTTGCCTTGAATTTAAATTTTACTGCATACTCAAAGACCTGTCCATCTGGAGACGTTATGACTATGCCAGCCCCTGATCCTATTGATGTTGCGGATCCATCTACAGAGACCTGTGACATTATATGTTGGCAACAATAAACATGTCATAAACTAAATATGTACTTGATTGCTCTGTATATAAAAAGAAGATAAAACACCAAAAACTTTATTAAACTTTGGTCATTAAATTACAAACTATTGAAACCTGCCAAGTGCCTATATCCTCTTCTTCATCTGTATATGAAGCCTCTACTATGAAGTCAGATAAGGTCTGTGCCTTTATTGATACCCTGGTCTTATAATGTATCTCATACTCCGATAATTCCACAGCCCATTTCAGCAATCTTCCTGACGTATCCATTTTGTGCAACGATTTTTCCAATGGATAATTTTTTAGAACATCTATCGGATGTGCATCAAAGTATGGCCTTAACTTCCTTGCCGCAATCACCACTGCTAATGCCATTTTCTCAATTATTGGATATCTGCGCTCTGCCGCATTCAGTACATGACTAACAAAGTATATCGACATTTGATGCTTCTTCCTCTCCACTACTAACACTGCAGCTATTGTCTTTGGAGACGTAGAGATGTATAATTTCAGTTGTTCCCCCCTTTCCGGCCTTGCAACTATTGGGAGAGATCTTAAATGATTTCTTACCACCTCTAGCGCGTCCCGCTGTTCTTTTCCACATTCAAACGTCTTGTTCTTCCGTAAAACCACAAAAAAGGGAAGTGCCTTATCAGCTGATTTGCTGATAAAACGAGTTAGCCCTGCCATTCGGCCATTCAACCTTTGTATATCTCGGATTGTCTTTGGTTGTTTCATCTCAAGCACCGCGTTCACCTTATTAGGATTTGCATCTATTCCCCGTTCGCTAACCATAAAGCCTAAAAACTTCCCCGATTGACTCTGAATACACACTTCTCGGGATTCAACTTCATCTGATATTTTCGTAAAGTTTCAAATGTCTCCCTCAAATCTGCTATGTGATCCTTCTTTTTCTTACTTTTAACAATTGTGTCATCGACATACACCTCCACATTCCGGCCCTTTTGCTTCTCAAAAATCTTGTCAACCAACTTCTGATATGTTGCCCCAGCATTCTTTAACCCAAATGGCATTGCTTTATAACAATATACCCCAGCATCTGTTATGAAGGCCGTTTTCGGTCTGTCAGCTTTATGAAGGCTGACCTGATGATACTCTGAAAACGCATCTAAGAAGCTGAGCATCTCGTGACCAGAAGTAGAATCCACCAGTCTGTCTATCCGGGGCAATGGATAACAATCCTTGGGACAAGCCCTGTTTAAATCGGTAAAGTTGACGCACATTCGCCATTTTCCTGTCGGCTTCCTTACCAAAACAACATTTGCCAACCACTCTGGATACGTGCACGGCTCAATAAAACCCGCCGCTAAGAGCTTATTAACTTCGGCTTGTATAGCTACTATCTTCTCAGTAGAGAAGTTCCGCTTTTTCTGTCTTACCGGCCTAAACCCCCTGTTAACATTCAGCTTATGCTCCATCACCCCCGGGTGAATTCCTGACATCTCACTCGCTGAGAAAGCAAAGACATCCGCATTTTCGCGCAACAGACTTATCAAATTACACCTCATGTCAACATCCATATCCGCTCCAACCCTAACCGTTCTGCTGGAGTCACCTGGCTGCAACTCAACCTGCACCGTTTCCCCTCCTGGTAACGGCCTCGGAGCTGTTTCTGGCCTTGTATCAAAGTTACCCATGGACAAGTCACGTACTGTGGGCTCCAGTTCCTTGACACTGAACCATCTCCGACCGGATTCTTTAAAGCTGTTAAATAACAAGACTTTGCCATAACTTGCCCCCCATGAACCTTTTCTACAGCTCCCAAATTCGACACATAAGCTATCGTCAAATGATATGTTGACACAACAACTTGGATATCATGAATTATCGGCCTTCCAATAATCGCATTATAAGCCGATGGAACATTGACTACTAAAAACTCTGCCATCACATCTCTCGTTGTTGGCCCATCACCCAATCGTACCGGCAAGACTATGCTCCCCTCTGGCCGCACTGAAGACCCATTAAATCCGATAACTGGGTATGATACCTGCGTCATGTATTACCTTCCTATCATCATCTCATTAAAGGCCTTCATAAAAAGAACATTTGCTGAACTTCCTCCATCCACTAGAACTCTTTTTATGTCAGCTCCATTAATCTTAGTTATCAGCACCAGCGGGTCATCATGCGGAAAGACTACTCCCCTTGTATCCTCTTCAGTGAATATTACATCTGGGATCGAATTTGGCCTGGGGCGGCTATCAGTATCCAGGGCATTAATTATATTGCGGTGCTCTGATAAGTGCTCCTTTGCTCCTCTGATCGTTCCTCCATGTACCTGCCCTCCGGCTATCACATCAACTCCTCTTCTCGTTGATAACGACGGCATTCCTCCACCTCCCTGTCGGATCACACTACCCTGTGGCCTTTTCGGCCTTACTTCAAGTTGCTGCCTTTCAATTTGTCGGGGTGGTGGCTGGCTCCCACACGCATTCAGCCGGTACTGAGCTAAGTGACCCTTTCTTATCAGCTCTTCTATATTATCTTTCAATTGCGTACATTCCTCTGTATAGTGACCCACATCTCTATTAAACATGCAGTATTTCTTGGCATCCCTCGGTTTCACTTTCATTGGAATCGGCCTCACCCATCCTTCCCTATTATGATGCACCGAGTAAATTGTCGCCCTTGGTGTATTAAGGGGGGTATACGAACTGTATCGCATTGGCGGTTTTGCTGCCCTTGCCTCCTGCCGATTTCCACCCCTTCCCGGGGCTAGAACTCTCGATCTCACACTTCAGGAGGCCACTCCCTCAGCCTGATACCTTCCAGCCGGTATACTTTTGCTGCTTGTCTTCATCAACTCTTCACTTTTTATGTAATCATGTGCCTTGTTAAAGGCGGCTGCCAACGTAGGAAAATTCTTTCTTGTGAGATAACGCTTGAACTCAGAATCATTCAAGCCATTCATGAGAGCCATTACAGCTATTTCTTGTTGCAATTTTGGGATTGTGTTCGCCTCATTATTAAACCGTCTGATATAGTCTCTCAGAGATTCATCCGGTCGTTGCTCTACTGCCATCAATTCCCCCGAAGTCCTTTGTCTCACACTGTTGCTGATATATTGTCCAACAAACTTCTCTGTTAGTTTCTTAAAGTTGTCTATAGTTCCACTTCCTAGGTTGTTAAACCAATCTGCCGCTGCCCCAGTCAAAGTAGTCGGAAAAACTTTACACCATATAGCGTCCGAATTTGTATACAAGATCATGTGCCCTTCATAAGAGGTTATATATCGGCCTGGATCCCCTCTTCCATCATATCGACATGTTGGCATCTTTATCTTTTCCATAGGCTGGTCTAAGATCCCTTGTGTAAATGGCGATGCCCTCAACTGGACTATCGTTCGCACTGCCCCTTGCTGCTGATTTTCTGTGCTCACAACGGGACCTGTAGACTGAACTTCTGACTCCCATTGAGTCAGCTGTAACCTTATCGGTGACCTGTCATGCCGACACCTCTGTGAACTACTAGCCCGGTTTGATTGGTTACCATGACCAGTAATCGGCACCCCTTCCCCATCTTGGGTTGCCCTAGCTTCCTTCCTTTTCCTACTCATGGCACTCATTACCCTTGCTGCTGTTTCGAGTTCTCCTGGCGTGAACTCAGCCATTGGATCCTGATCCCCTTCTCCTTGACCTTCTAGGGTTAACGGCATATGGAAATGGTTACCTTCTAAAGTATGGGTTTCATCTTCAATCTCAATCTCTGGTTTTCAGGCATTTTTTTTTCTAGGATGTGAGGTTCTTAGGCGATAGAAGCAATTATGATGCTCCCCTCCTTCTAGCGCCAATTGTTCCTGCAAGGATCCGACAACCCGATCCAAAAGTCCAAAGCCCGAGTATGCAACCCGTTAAGCTCCTATCGGCCAGAAGAGAACCTACACAAAGAGAAAGGATTAGCTAACCCTGGGGTATTCCAGGGATAACCACTCCGATGACAAAGTCAGTTTGTGATGAAGAAGAGAAATTAGAGAAAGAAAGAGATAGAGAGAGAGAGAGAGAGTGTGTAATTAATTGCCCTCATTAATGACTCCTAACCTACTATTTATAATAAATACCAAGACAGGTGGCTACAAAGCATGCAAAGCCTTTCTTGCCAAGTGTCAAGCTGTTGTTGCCACGTGCCGAATACCGACAGGCCGATATGTCTGCTTTATCAAACATATCTGCCTATTTATCAGCTCTACTGGGTTCAGATCCATATTTGTAAAAGATGTCGACCCATTTTACATATCTTCCCATACATGTACATTCTAAAATAGTAAAATGTACTTCATATTATATGTACATGGTTCTAGCTAAGATGATTAAAAGCATGATTCACATTTGATGAGACTTTTTAGGAACCTTTTTTTTTAATATACGTAAATATACTATCAGTTCGCGAATGGCTCATTTAGCTCAAAACTTTCACAAGTAGATATTATAAAGCTTACATTATAACAAGCACTAGTGAGTCGAGTCAAGCCACACAGAACTTACTATCCACCCCTAAAGGTAGAGGTGTCAAAACCACACCTGATTCGAAATTAACTCGAAAATATCCGATTTAGATTTGAATTCATATAAACATAATAATTTTGCATGACTCAACTCTAAAAATCGACCCTATTTGGGGCCTGTTCTCATACGATTATTTTTAGTTTAGTTCAGCTCCTAATTTCCTACTCTTATAAAATATTCATTTCATTTCAGTTCAGTTCAGTTCAGCTCTAAGGGCCTATTCACATTTACTAAACTGTGCTAAACTGAACTAAGCTGAGCTGAAATGAATATTTTATGAGAGAGGGAAATTAAGAGCTGAATTAAACTGAACTGATTGGAGCTGAACTAAACTGAATTGAATTGATTAGAGCTAAATTGAACTGAAATTAAGTAAATGTGAACAAGCCCTAATAAGTTCAGTTCAGTCAATAAGAACAAACCCTTGCTCAAACCCAATCCAATCACCCGAATTTACACCACTACTATGTAAAGGAGGTAGTTAGCCTGAGACACCGGAGTAGTAGTTAAATACTTAAATCCCCTCAAAAGAAACATGTACAAACTCCCTCAAGCTATATGCCTAGATCAGCTGAAAATTACCCAACATCCTGTGTTTCATCTGCTTTAGCCAACCCGCCAAATGGCAGCGATTCCCAACCACCATCTTCTTCCCTGCCAAAATCCCGCCATTTCTTCTTCTTCATCATCTTCTTCTCATTCTAAAACCCTAAATTCCTCTTCTTCAATCTCCTTAAACCCATCAATTACATTCATCAGAAGATTACCCACTTTCCGATGCGAATCCCTAAATCGTCGGCATTGGACGATGGTTGATTATCACGTTTCTAAACTCAACCCAATTGAAATCATCCCCAATTCCCCCACATTTCAAATGACGTCAAATCAGGAGAATTCTGTCAAATTTTCGAAGAAGATTTGCCTTTTTTATTGCCCTGAAACTAAAGCTCTTGCTGAGAGAATTGCCGCACAATCTGATTGTATTCAACTTCGAAGCATTTCTTGGAGGTAGTTTCTTTTGAAATTATTTGACACATTTTATCGAATTATATGATTAATTGATCTTGGTGCAAGCTATAAGATTACTTGTAGTGTGATAGATTATAATGGATTAATGGGTATAATGGTATATCTAGATTATGTATGATTTCTACGTTTATGTCGGTTTTCGGGTCGGGTCAGTTTTTGATAGCTACTGAGTAATTTTTAACCATGTGTGTGAATATGAGAAATTAGGTAGGACCCATGTAAAGTTTTCTTGGACTGTTTGCTTCTTAAGCTTGGAAGAGTGACCAACTTTTATTGGGTTAATGTTTCCTTGAATGCTTGTTAATATAATTGTTGTTATATTGCATATGTTATCAACTACCAAATTGCTATAATTAGTGCGTCTTTTTGAGTAGTTTGATGAAATAACCGTTGTGAACCCGACATTTCTCTTTAATTGGCTTTGGATGAGTATGGAGTACCTGTCTGGATAGATCATCTTAGCCTTATATATACATTTGCTAGTATTAGATTTTAGAAGCGTACATTGCTCAAGAACAAGCAATGTTAGTCGTGTTTTGAGAGTTGATATGATTTTACTACCTGTAAAAAGAAACTGTAACTTTTCTGGATATTCTAGAACAAATAATGTGAAACTTTATTCGAGTAAAGAGCATCACGGGCATGAAACATTTTCAATCAAAAAAATTTTGGGCTGAAGATGATTATGTGCTGCTCAGATATATAAATGGGGATTACTATTGGAGACGAGTGGCAGTATTTGCTACACTTGTTAGATTTCAGTTTTCGGACTCTTACAAGCTTTTGGATTGGATTTTAGATGCCATGGTGATGTAGCTGACCTCAGCAAGTCCTAAAACTTTGGTGTGGTTGTTTTGCCTGTTGTTTATGGCATATAAATGGTAATCGTTTGGAGTTTGCAACCTTGATTTTTGATTTTAACCAAAGGAAAATCAATACTATTAACAGGCATGTTTTATGATCAGACTTTATTGCTCTGTAGAAAGAAATTTAAGGTTTAGGGCTGAGTTCGAATAGTTGATTCACCTGGAGAGTCACTCATCATTTTGGACATAACAGAAGCAGCCATTTGGGGAAAAGGTGTTAGGGGAGCACATGGTGGGCTTCGATGTGCCCTGACTTAGGTTTCCTAATTTTGTATGTTAGTTGGACTTAATATTAAGTGACTTAAAATATCATCATTCTGTGCTAATATAAGTCAAGCTGGTTTGGCATTTTTCAGAGGGTTATCTCACTGTATTACAATGTAATTAGGACATTTGAAGATGGCTTCCCCAACCTGTTCATATCTAATGCTCAAGGTATACGGGGACAGCATGTTGCTTTCTTGGCATCATTCAGTTCCCCTGGTGTAATATTTGAGCAACTCTCTGTGATATATGCTCTGCCGAAGCTTTTTGTTGCCTCCTTCACCCTTGTCCTTCCCTTTTTTCCTACTGGCACTTCTGAGCGGATGGAAGATGAAGGGGACGTTGCAACTGCTTTCACTCTTGCTAGGATTTTGTCAAATATACCAATTTCGAGGGGAGGCCCAACTAGCTTGGTGACATTCGATATACATGCCTTGCAGGTTTGCATTGCAGTGCCCCTCTTCTAAAGCCCTCACCTCTTAATGCTCATTTATCTTTGATAGTATGACTGACCTTTCTTATTTATTTTCTAAATCTTAGGAAAGATTTTACTTTGGTGACAAAATATTGCCATGCTTTGAGAGTGGAATACCTTTGCTCAAAAAGAGATTGCAACAACTGCCTGATTCTGACAATGTATGGTTTGCTGTAGATCCAATTTTATATGTGTCTTAAATTATCCAAGCTAGTTATGCCCCCAAACCTAATTTGGGAGCTAAGGAGACACTCAGACATGATCCTGGTATTAACGATGAGTCATCCCTTTTTTTTTCTTCAGATATCAATTGCTTTTCCTGATGATGGTGCATGGAAACGCTTTCATAAGCAGCTGCAACACTTTCCCACGGTAAAGTTGTTATTTGTAAAACTGTAAGAGACAGCCCTCAAAACTTGTACTTCATCTCTACTTTTAATGTTTTTAATCATATACTTCGTATATGATTGTTGTATTTTTAGTCACGACTCTTATCTACTGCAGTTTATGTTTCAATAATTATACTTATCTTCCACAATTTTCTTGAAGTCTTTCTGCCCATTTCTATGTGTAGAAGCTCAACCAATATCAGACACCAGTGGAAAAACATCTTAATAGTGCAAGATATGTAATTAAATCTCAATGTACATGTCTGATTGAGTTGAAAAGTAGTAAAAAAATGCAGCTAAAGCATGGGAGTGAAAGGGAACATCAACTTACCTATAGTTTTTTTTCTTTAATTTGACATAGAGAATTAATGAAGCCTGTTGTGTAGCTGAGTTGCTTGATTCATTAGGAGAGGATATCATGCTTCTTGCCACAGATTGAGTGTTAACTCGTAAAGGATGTTCTACTGGGAGAGGGTAGAAAGGTCTAACTACAACATTCCTCCCTCTACAACTAAAACGGTTCAGAATGACCTCTGCGACACACACAGCTTTTTATTTCTGTATCTGCTAAACAAAAGACTACATTGATGCAGTTGAATTTTGTATTGCTGATTTAACTTAAGTGATACTAAGTACACCTCTGTTGTCCAGGTAGTTTGTGCAAAAGTTCGAGAAGGTGATAAACGTATTGTTCGTCTGAAGGAGGGTGATCCTAGAGGCCGTCATGTTGTGATTGTTGATGACCTAGTACAATCTGGTGGCACCCTTATAGAATGTCAGGTAGATTCTCTTATGAACTTTAGTTGCTTTCAAATGCATTGGGTTTCATCTACAGCCTATCAGTGTTGTAATTTCTCTCACTTTTCAATTGCATTTGTTCCTTATTGCTGTAAAATCCATCTCTGGGAACTACACTTGATTATTATCTCACTGCTGGTGTTTAATTCTCTGAAAAACAAATGTATTACTGTACTTTTTGTTTTGTTTTTTGTTTTATTTTTTCCAAAGTAAATGAATAGAGTAATGATGTCCTATGACTTCAATATTTTATTTTTTATTTTTATTTTTTTTCGTTTTTGACTACACATGAGGCACTCATTCGTTTTGCCCTGTTTTCTTTATTTAATTGTAACATCCCTCAGAAAGTATTGGCTGCTCATGGAGCTGCAAAGATCAGTGCGTACGTCACACATGGAATATTTCCAAATAAATCATGGGAACGCTTTAAACCTGATACAACAGGTACACTTTTTCAACTGTGACCTACTGATTTAAATCTTTCTAGCAAGATAGCAAGATTTTATAATCGCACACAGTGTCATTCATATTGGTATATAACATGCTACCCTCATCCCAAATATTCCGCCACGTAGCTAATTTAGGCCATCACTAAAGAGAAACACTTTCTAGACATAGTAAATAAACTTCAGACTTTGTCATATTACCAATGAGCAATAGTTCTAAGGAAAAACTAGATTGGAAAAACACTTTCTATGGTTGTAGATGTGAAATTTTATTATTAAAGGACTTAATCAAATGTGGCGGATTTTTGTAGGGTGAAGAATGTACTTGTTGTACGGGTTAATTCCTTTCACACTTTAAACTCAATTTACTATTTCAAGTTTTTGGTGTTCAGCTGTGGATTCACTATTTTACTGTCACAGGTTGCCCTGAGGAGGAAATGTCATACTTCTGGATCACTGACTCTTGCCCTCTGACAGTGAAGGAGGTGAAGAACAGGCCTCCTTTTGAAGTCATTAGCCTTGCTGGATCAATAGCTGCAGCTCTTCAGATTTAATACAATTGCGACAGTTAGCAAAAAGTAGTGCACAAAACGAGTTTTAGTTACTTGCCCAGTATAATCTTTTGTCGTCAGTTTTGTTTGTTGCATATTGTGAAGGATACAGAAATTTTGGTTTCATAAAGAGTCGGAGATTGTAAATTGTTGGCAGAATTTCAGTAGTTGCTTAAACAGCAACAATCGTAGGAGATAGTAGACATCAAATTCTTTTCATATCATTGAAATTCTTATCTGGATTCTGAGTCCTCTTCTGACTGCAAGAAGGGCTCCTACTTCAGAAGTTATGTTTAATTCTTTTCATATCATTGAAATTCTTATCTGGATTCTGAGTCTTCTGACTGCGAGAAGGGCTCCTACTTCAGAAGTTATGTTTAATTTTTGCAAATAACACCCCCCAATAAATTTTAAAAACAGAAAAAAAAAATCTAATTATTCAAAGTTACTCCCAAAGTACTCCGTAAGTTCCTGGAATTAAAAAATAAAATAAAATCCTGTAACATGCAATTCAAACATAACCACACGGTAAATAAACTTAGGATCAGCTCTGCACTGCAATGGGGTTGTCCTTAGTTCTCGTGGAAAAAATGTCATTGCAACTGTCAAAATATACATAGGTTCCTTTTTCCTACAGAAATTACATTAACAAAATTTCTGACTCGCCAAATTGAGAGGGAAAAAAAAAACAAAACAAAACAAAACAAAACAAAACCTGACATTCTTCAGCCTTGTAAAGAGATTGTAATTTGTAAACGTAGAATCTAAACCACTAATTCAAGAAAACCCCAAACCGACAAAGTTTCAAACAACGAAAGAATATAATTACACACTTGGCTTTGATGAACATTTACATTTAAAAAAAAAAAAAAAAAAAAAAAAAAAACAACACTCCAGAGAGCCTTTCACTTCACTTTATGAGAAATCTTGATGTAATTTAGAAGCCTCTTCAAGGCGTTACCACTGTCAATGGCCTCTCTAGCCCTATCTAGAGCTGATGTGATATCTTCTGCACCACTGCAACCTAATAAGTGATCTACAATTCCAGCGTTTAAGACAATCCGATCATATGCAGGGCCCTTCTCCCCACGAAGTGCTGCTAGACCAAGCTCTATGTTCTTTGCCACCTGCAGTCAGTCAGTAGTTAATGATTTTTCATTTGTACCTTTGGAAGAGGAACAAATTGCAAACAACTTACATGATCTAGAATCCAAAGGAAGATTGGCTTAGGTTATAGAATTAATGCAACTGAACCCTAGGATACTTTAATACTACGTATGTATTTTTACAATCTATATGTTCTAAAAGTACTTAAAAGGTTTCTTTTCTTTTCTTTGCTACCCTCTCACTGGGGTACCCACCTATCACAGATTCACAGGCTAAATTCATACAGGGTATTAACTTATTAAGGCAAAGTGTGGGATTTCTTTTCAACATTCTTGAATTTTGTTCTTGATTTTCTTTTAAAACTCCCTTAATTTTTTAAAATGCTCTTTCGTTTACTCACTTAACTCGCCTTTTTTCAAACTCTTTTAAATTATGGTTTTGTTATGTCCGTTTCTTTATATCTTACGATTCCTTATGACGATTTATGTTAGCGACCCCAAATCATTTTGGGACTAAGGCTTTGATGTTGACTTGTTGTTGTTGTTGTCTAAGTGTGGGATATGCATGAGGGTATTTGACTTGATATTGCAACATCACAAACTTGCCATGAAATAAGCTAGTGTTGATAATATTTTACCCCTTTATTTTGACGGGTCCACACACACACACGCATACAATAACTGGACAGTAGAAAGTGAAATTCCTACATAAACAGGTTTTGCAGGGTTAACAGGACCAAATCATTAATCGGTTACTTCCTCTGTTCCCCTAAATATTGCAAACATAGAGGACTGGAGGTATTGCACAGATTTTAAGGTGAGATCAGATAAAGAAAGATGTTAAAATAGAGAGCCATGTGATGAGGAGAGGGATAGAGAGAAACCATGTAGAAATAAGGAATTTGCAATATTTTCTAAACTTCCTAAAATGGAAATTGTTGCAATTTTAGGGGAACAGAGGAAGTATAATCTAAACGCCATGTAAGTGTCAAGCATTTCAATTCATTTGATTACAAGGTTTAGGTCATGTTAATAATTCCCTGCTTAGTTATCAATAACATGGACATGAACCAATCAACACACAACAAGTATACAATTCACACATACGACATCTGCTGATGATTGGACAATCATAAAATCATACAAAGGTGGATAACCAGACAATCATACAAATTATACAAAGGTGGATAATCGGACAAGTCATTTCAAGAAAGATATCTGCTATTTTGAATTGAAATTTTTTTCAAGATTGGGAAAATTGAACATGTACTCCGTAATTGTAAGAAGTACGTTATAAACACAGAATTTCAAACATGAAAAGTAGATCAGTAAGGACCCTAGAAAAAAAAAGTTTTTCTTACCGATCTATCAGTCCTTGGAGTATCTGATGGCTCAAAACCATAGTCTTTTGCATTCACTTCCATGCGGAAAGCCTCCCGTGAGACTCCTGAAGCATAAACATGCCAGCCTCAACTATTAAAGAGATTGATCAAAGGGAAACACAAACAGCCAGGAACAAGTTTAATACACTGATGAATTGGTGGAAAGTATAACACACCATCAGCTTCAAATGCAGCTCCATTGACTGATGAGCGAAATCCAGAACAATAATTGACCGGAAGTCCTTTTGATGTATTTGTGGGCCGCAATCTGGTTGTCATAGAAAGTGCCCCTTCTTCACCCTGCATGAAGAAAGCTGTATTATAAAGTTGGAGGTTTTTACTTGGAAAGTCATATGCCATAAGTAAAAGATGTGCCAACAGATGAGTGTACTGAACTAGAACCATTTAGTTGAGCATTTCTGATAAATGGTCTATAAAGAGAGAGGAGGGGGGGGGGGGGGGAGCCAAACCAAAGATTAAAATAAACAATAAAACTTTCTGACCTTGACAACTAAGCCAGCATGGATGCCTCTTCTTCTCATAAGCATTAAAAGTGGTTCTTCATATCCTTCATGATAAAATCCTGCAACAATAGATTCCTTTCCTCGAGCCTGTTCAAACCATTTATCTTCTTTTTCATTATATAATATCAAACTCATAAAATCAATGGAAATAGCTATCTACATTGATAGTGGTAAGCATAGAGCTAATATGATAACCAAAAAAAAAAAAAAAAAAAAAAAAAAACAGCTCCCAATGGATTCCAATGATGACACATCAGAAAATTCTCTCTTGGATATTGCAAGATTGTATACATTATACACAAATCTTAATCTCACAATTCATAAGCAATAACAAATTGTCAATAAGAGGATCACCTAAAACTTACCCTGACAAACTGCTGAACCTTTTCAGATGTTGCCAGTGGAGGACGCTTCTTTATGTGTTCTCTCAGTCCAATCAATGAGTATCTGCAGAAAGATACAATTCTGACTGTTTTAGACTTGTAGTAGAAAGCTATGCAACAAAAGAGGGACTCGCCACAGAACAAGTAAATGGTCAACAACCTCCTAATTGAAGTAAAAAATAAATCAAGCAGTAATGACCACTTTTAAGAAACTTCAATAGTTTTGGTTAGTGAAGTTAACAGTATATAAGTCAGTGGCGAACCCAGTATGGATTCAGCTAACCCACTGAAGACTGGATCTGGAAAATCCGGATCAGTAAGAAAACAAAAACGAGTTAAATACATCAATACGTGCATAATTATATAATCATTTCCTGCAGCCCAGTGGTAGAAGCTTTATGTTTTTAAACAATGGTTGCGGATTCAAAACCCCCAACACCCCTTTTTTTAATTGCTTTTACTAACATGATGGTTGATAAGATGATAACCCCAATACCCAAAATATTTCTTCAATTGAACACTAAAAAATGAAGACTCGATGAGCTCAATAGTAACTAAAATTGTAAAGTTTTTTGTTAAACTAACATGTGCACACCCAAATTATTAGTTTAAATTTATATTTTGGATTATGTTACTTGATTTCATTACATTTGTTTGAAGACTCCAAACTCATAAGGAAAAATTCTTGGATCCGATCCGCCACTGATTTAAGTGTAATAATCTTCAAACTACAATCAAAGAGGCAAGGATAACTGACTGTACACTTATTAAGTTAACTACACTTGATTGCTGTCACTGTTTGTCAAAATGTGCAACCCTCTTTGACAGTGACAGTGACAACTGACAACAGTATTAAAAGGCTGTTATAATTTTACTCATGCAGACATATGAACATAGAATTTGAGACAAGTACTATAACTTACAGAGATGGACGAACTTCTCGTAGACTTACATATGCAAACCCCCCATTTTCATCCTGATAAACAATAAGGAAAAGTCAATATCATGAAGCCAAGTCCAAGGATCAAGCTGGAAGCTAACATTGTCACAGAACCATTAGAGGTCAACCTCAATAAGTTGTTTTGCCTGCAGTGCTGTCAAGTGAGTATTAGCCCCCATAAATTGCAGCATTTGTTCTTCAGTTACACCACCCTAAACAAAAAGTCAAAAACATTAATATTTGGAGAAAAAAAAAAAAAAACCTGAGCAACAGAATCGCTTCCAGAGCATAAGAAAGGAATGAGTTTTGAAACTATTGTGCAATGCAACCACTATTAGCAGAGATTAATGAGACAAGCACGTTAAGAGCATACCAGTTTACCACAGCTTATCTGAATAATATTTTTTCTTTTTTTTCTTTTAGTTCTTTTATATGTTGATGTTGAATGGTAGGGAGCCACACCACTATATATTTCTATTTGCTCCTAATGTCTATCTATTCCATATAACAAACAACTTACCTTTGGTGGCATCCAATCCACACCATGAAGCAAGGATGATTGACCATAACATGATCTCACAGCAGCTACGAATAATGTGCTCCTGAAAAAGCGTGTGTTGCCATCATAAGGTTCACCATAATGGGTCAAGGATTCAACATCAGCAACAGGAGGAGGACCTAATTATCCAAAAATAAACAATCAACTAGTGCATTTGAGATGATGAACCAAAACCAGCTACATACATATAGTGCCCCTTTAATGCAATAAGCGAAATACACTTCTAAATGAATAAATGATATGCCAATAGGGCATCAGCCCCATATTTTGTCAAATTAGGGGCATTACCAACTTCATCATCAAGCGCAAGACAATACGCTTTAAGCTCTCGATCAGTTTCCCTGTTCATGCGCTGACCTATCAAAAATGCTGAAAGTAATGACTCGCTCACCCCTCTTGATTTATCCTCAGATTCCAGAGGTAGAACATCTCTCAGTACGCCTTGAACCTCCTCGAATCCTAGATGACCTCCAGCAAGAACTTCTCGTAAGGCACCAACAAGTCTCATTTCCCTAGCATCTTGTCCTGTATAGTGTGGTCCAACACAACTTCCTAGACCCATTATAGATCCTTCTGGATCAGCTATAAATATTACATCTTTCGGAAGAGTTCGAACTAGCTCAGGCCAGAAAGCATTCATGGCACGCCTTTCACCTTCATTCCATTGGGTAGCTTCGGGGAAGGCATTGGCTCGGATAGTCATTCCCGCAAAGAAGGCACCAAGTTGAGCTTTTGAAACCTCACCATCATCTTTGAGTTCCCCCTTCGCTGATCATCCACAGATATACCAATGTGAATAATTTCATTTTCCACCCTTTTTTGAAAGTAGGTGTTTTGTTGTGTGAGTGTCGAGGAGGGGGGGGGGGGTTGAGGGAAGCATCAGAGAAATTTAATGGGTACAATGATACATTATGGCGGGTCTGTCTTGCAATTGAAAGAACTAAAATCATTGAATTTTTAAGCAATTAACTTATTAATCCGCATATGCTACCTACAGCCTACACCACTTCTAAACCCCAACAATAAAGAAACAGGCATCTTCTTTCAAAACAGATATATCTTTTGTACATAGTCAAAGAAATGGAATATCATAGTTCTCCAAATGTTACGGTACAAATGTTCATGTTTCAGTTCTAGTTCTTACAGTTGCATACATTATATTAGCTAAACATGGCAAAGTTTAAACTGTAAAAAGAGACACTCAGCAATACATCTATTGATATATATATTCAGTTAAAACTTTCCAATTTAGAACACCTTTACAAGTTCTTCACCATACTCCAAAATTCACTTACAAACATTCTCGAATTGCAACTTACCCCCATGACCCAAACAATAATCCGCCATATACATATCAACAATATTTCACAATACAAATGACAAAACTATATGCATCACAATATCATGTGGTGTCCGGTATCCCAACCAATGTATTGAGTTCCACTGGTAATGACAACGGAATGCCTCAATTCATTCCATACATCTCAACCACTTAACCAACTTTTATAATTCAATACTATCTCATACTCATCATCAAATGCACTATTACTTCCCAATTCAAAAATAACACCATATAATCACTACTCCGTATTTGGCATTGAAATAAAATACAATTATATTCACTCCTTCAAATCTTATGCATAACCTTAACAACAATTAAACTAAAACGGCCCGAGCACATAATTTTTTTAAACCGGTGATCGGAGTATTGCACATTAATTTCACTCTACAACCCTACAATATCTTGAACTATCAATGCCAAACCATCAATAAAACAGGTAAAAATAGCTAAAAATTGAACTCTCCAAATGTTGTTCTACTACTAGCGACTTTTTTCTGTGAGAATCGGCGTTACAGGAATAACTTTTAGAGACGGAGGAGTATAACTGATTACAAACACAAATTCAACAGATTAAATAACTAAAAAAATGGCAATAAATTGGACCTGATTTTAAGATAGTATCTAAAACCTTTCTAGCTTGTTCTTCGGTTAGAGGCTTGGTCTGAGTGGGACCAGTACAAACTCGACCTTGAGCTTCTAGAACCGTCTTATTAGGCCTCGGAATATCCGAACGACGGTAGGTCGTCGATAGCGCAGGGTTTCGGACACTATCTTCTTCGTTGAGAGAAAAATCCTCCGTTTTCATCGAATCTGTCATCACGGCGTTAATGGTTAGCCCGCATCTCCGGCGAATTGGACGGTGGTATTTCGCCGGATTCAATTGGAGGAGCGGTGGTTTGGTGGTTTTAACGGCGGGGAGTTTCGCCGGCGCCGGCGAAGTCAACGGGTAAATGCGATCGGGATTTAACAGGAGTTTCATTTTTGGGGGGTTTTCTGAAATTCGCACCTAGTTTTGTTATTGTTATTGTTATTGTTGGGAAGTCCAAAAATGGGAGGTTCTACACTTCTATGTAAGATATGTTGGTAGTCGTTAAATGCAGAAACTGCGTACGAAGGGTAGAAGCATTATGATATAGGTATTGACGATAATACCCAACTACCTAGCAATTAAGGAAAGTTAACCAAAAAAGAGGTTTAACTATACTACTTTACTACTCTTAGTCATGGGTCATGGCCAATTGGGGAGAAATTCGATATCATGGCACCAACCATTGGTCCATTGTAAAACTCACGGTTTTTATGGTCCATTATTTGCAGGCTAGACATTTGAGAAAGTAAGGGAATCCCTACCTCCAAATACCCTCACTTCGTAGGATTCGAACCCCATACCTCAAGGATCTGAGGTAAGAAGACTAAAAACGTTACCAATGAGCCAACACTTTGTTGGTGAGCTTGGGGTGGTACTTAGAACGATCAACTTATGCCCATATATGATTATTGTACTTGATTATTCCATTTATGTTCTTTTATTTAGAGAGCCATAAGAACGAGTGATGAGAATCGATCTCAAAATCTCTTGGAACCGTAAGGGGAGTTCTAACCACTTAAGCTATCTTTAACTCCCTATTTTCCAGCTATAATATCATATACTCCGTAATCAATAATACAACCAGTAAATGATATGTATAAATGATTGGAGGATATAAGTTATTTGATGGAGGGATGTGTATAACTTGTTTGAGGATATGTATAATTTGTTTGATGATATATATAACAATGGCGGAACCTCCAATATTGAAGAGTTCGTACTAAAAGTCATGAGTATAACATAAATTGCTCATTTCTCAACCCAAATACATGCGTTTATCATCAAAATGCTTACAATTCAACATACAATCATATGGGACAAACAATTTCAACAATTATACATTACATAAGAAAGCCCCAATTCGTTTTTTTGGGTATTTTTCTTTTTGAAAAATCCGAGAATTAAACTTTTTATCTCTTCCACCATGAATGACCTCGCTTTGCCATTGATGTCATCATCGTCATCGTCGCCTAGATGGAGAGAAGCAAATCCACCATCATCGTCATTGTTGTCTTTATTGTCATCGTCATTTCCTCCGCCGCACGAACTATTTCACCAGACTTGACTGACCCAATAATTTGTGATCTCATAATAATTTGTTGTGTTTATGAAATGCTTAGTAGTTACTCCGTAGTAAGGAGTACAATTTACTACAATTTGTTTTACTGTGGAGTACTTTTTTTGAAATGCAAATTCAAATACAAGCAAACACCAAAACGACGAGTTCAATTGGTTTTGCAGCTATAAATACGGACATCATCACTGTATTCCTCATTCCCAACTGAAGAAAATTCAAATTGAAAAAAAGAGAAGAAAAAAAAAACAGAAAAATGGCGGGAGCTCAAGAACTAAAAATGGCGGAGAGAGAAACTCAGAAGTCGTTAATGGCGATGCCGACGACGCTAATGACAAGATATCAGAATCAATGGCAATGGAAGGTTCAATACGGTCGATGCTTCACTTATCCTTCTTCGTACCACTCTAAAATCACCGCCATAACCACTAGTACTTCTTCTTTTCTCTCTCCTCTCAAGCGAAGCCCATTCAAGCCTGTTTGGATTACTTCTTCTGGATTCTCCATCGTCTCTCTCCATCCTTCCTCTGATGCCTCCTCCTCCGCTGATTCCATCCTCACTGTTTCTCTTCAAGGAACTATTGTTGTACGCTTCTCTCTCTCATCTCTCTGTTAACGATGATTTTATTGAGGATTTTTGAGCTAGGTTTTAATTGGATGTTGTTTTTGTAATCTGCGATTATCGATGTGTTTTCGCTGGATTATTGAAAAAATCGGGTTCAAATTTGGTTAGTTGCTATTTGCGAATATTGCGATTGCTAGTGATTATTGTTAGATCTCTTACTAGAAAATTTTGTGATATTTTATTGATAATTGTGTTAAATTTGGTTGTTTATGATGTTGTGATTACTGTTTGATGATATTTTATTGTTGAAATAACTTCCAATTTTAATTTTGATGATAATTTTCGATGTGTTTTGATGGCTTCGAACTTATAATTTGAAATTAATTTTGATGTGTAAATTTGCTGATAGTCATATTTTGATGAAATTTTCATCTAACAGTTTTTGCAGTTTTGATTTCGTTTGAATTTCTGTAAAATGTCCGTAGTTACTTGTGAGAAGCGATATTGAGCTCATACATTTTTTACACACTGGATCGAAATCTGTACATAGCAGCGAGTTGTAGTGAATTCGCCAACTATGATGACAACAACATTGTGTACAATGTGGTGGATTAGAAAATGAGCTTATGATTCAGTGAATTCTTAGTTTGTTTTAGATTCATCAGTATCATCACATTGTTCGACGATACATTTTTCTTAACCAAAAGGTTTTCTTAATCTGCTACGAGTTTTTGAGTACTGCCACGAGTTTTTGAGTAAAGGTCAGCAGATTACTGTTGGTCTAATGAACTACTGATGAGCAGCTTTTGAAGTTCATTCGACAATAATGGTTAAAACAGTTGATATTTCATATTTGGGGCGAGATTCTTCTGATTAATAGGTGTATTGTGTGTATGGTATGGCATTTTCATGATCAAAACAAGTTAAGCATCAAAAGTTATAATTGATTAATTGTGTTGAGATAACTTTTTAAGCCGTTAAAACTTGAATGTCGGTTCATGTAGTTAATTGTTTAGTTCTTTTTGCAGGAAGAGCACTTCATCTCCAAGCTGCAGTTTGTCTGGCCTCAAGTCTCATGTCTCTCTGGGTTTCCTACTCGAGGTAGCCTAGTTGTCTTTGCAAGCTACGTCGATTGTTCAGATGAGGTAGGATAACCTTTTGTGCTTCCAAATGCTCAGATGCCTTTGTTTCCATTCTAGAACCAGTGGCCTTTCAATATGACTCGATATTGTAAGAAACTGCAGCACTTGTAAAAACTGTACTGCAAAAAGGAAATGTGATTTCTATAAAGTAGTTGAAATATCAAATATGAGATGCCCTCCTTTGATCAAGAAACATGAGAGTGCAGTTTAGAAGAAGCTTGTCATTTCGCCATAGAGTCATTTGAGATTTGTCACACTAAAAGTTATTATATCTTCATATACTGTTTTATCTGATAAAAAAAGAACTAACTTCAGCTACAGATTAATCAAACATTAGAAAAATTCATTGATCTTGACTTGTTTCCATCAATGAATGTGAGTATGCCTCAAACATCCTAACTCACGATGGATTTGGTTAATTTTCAGAAGCAGAAGTTTGCCATGCGGTTTTCAGGAGTGCCGGAAGTACAAGATTTCATAACCTCATTGCAGGTGAAATCTGAAATCAATTTTTTTCCTTCTTATGTGACTTGTTTATGTTTTGGAAATGCTTTTGAGAGAGAAATTATGATTCATGACAAAGCTTGTCATATCTTATCTGCAGGATATCCTTTCGAATAAAATCCCTAACAGACCTTCAACTGTTGATGCCATATCTGCAATATCTTTTCAGTCTGAGTTTGTTCCTGCATATAGGTAAAGTCATGTGCAGAAGCTTTAACCTGTGGGACTCCTAATAACCACATGATAAACTTCTGCTTCTGCTTTACCTGCCCTATTTTCGGAATGTTCACTCATTTTGTAGAGGACAACAAGATTAATTATAATTACTATATCAATTGTAGGCCTGACACATCAAGCATGATGACCCCGGGTTATGATTCTAACCCATCAAAGAACTTGCACAACGAATATGAGGAATCACAGACCCAAAATACAGTTGCTGATTCTCAGAACAGTGTTGAAGCACTTCCTCCTCGCTTCACATCACTTGTGTCCAGCTGCTCTGTTGAGCACGAACAGGGTTTGCTCCTATCCTCCTTAAACAAGAACTTCATACTCCTTCAACAATGAGTCATAACCTTTTTCCTGTGTTGTACGCAGATAAATTAGCTCTTGCTCTTGCACCTGGTCCGCGGAATTTTGACCTGAAAGCCCAAATTTCGGTACTCATTCGTCACTGAACTTGCCACACTAATATTAATCGGAGCCTGTTATCATTTTGTTGAACCAGACCTGAACATCTGGAACTGTTTATTTCCTATATAATTTAAAAATTAGGGCCTCTAATACATCTGATTCTGGTTTTTTTCCGTCACTAATACTCTGCATCTCCTTGCAGAAATATATGCAAGATGCATCTTTCCTTGGTAAGTAACTTTCATACATGGCTCCAAGTGGTTCCTTTTAAATTTCATCTGCTGTGCATCATGCTGTTTGTTAAAGCTTTCTGAATTGCAGGATTTGTTGGTTGTTTAATGCAATGATTTATTAGCCTCTAAGATCTTAGCTCCTAATTTAATCTAAGCACTGATAGTGATTCACGTTGCATGCTCGTTTATATTTCTAAGTTCTAAGCTTTGTTTTTAGTGATAATTTAAGTATTTTCAAGCTCCGATAATAGGAAAAAGGTGCCTTATAGTATCTTATGCATTTCAGTCCCTACAATGCTAGTAATAAGCTTGGTTATTTGGACAAGATACTTGCTCAAAATAGCTGAATAAACTGTCAAACTTTGTATTGTAGCTATATGGTGTTATGCAAGGCTAACTTCCCCCAAGTATTCACCTGCTGAAGTATATTTTGTCTGTATGATTCCAGATTTAAGACTTGAATCACTGTTAAGCTAAGAAAGAGTCGTGACTTGTTTCGTTAATTCTTACTATCATCTGTTTGTTCTAATTGCTGTTCTATTGTTCTATTTCAGATATGGTGAGTAAAGTGAATGAGGTAATCACTGAACTCGGAGATGACTTCACGATATAGAAGTTCTAAGAGTATTGCACAAGTCACCTTATGTATAGTGCTGCTCCTTTCACTTAGAGCTCAAGTGCTCAACCCAACGAAAAAGATGGCCTTTCCATGAACTCAACCATATTCATAAATGTTGCTCCTCGACGTGACTGTGATACACGAAGTATATATATAGCAGTATAATCTTATCTGATGTTACAATCTTTCTAAACATTTATGTAAACACATTACCTACAAATTAACCTTTACATACAGTTTGCTTGGAAAAAGTAATGAAATTGTGTTTAGAGATATAAAGTTCAATTTACGTTGTCTGGAACTGAATCTCATTCTAACTCTTTTAATTTTTCTTTTGGAATTTAGGTTGGACCGTTGGAGTATACCTAAGGGTTAGCTATGTAAAAGCAAAATATAGAAAATTTATTGTTTAATAGACATTAAAAACACCTATGGTCATGTAATATTATCACAAATAGTTAATTAATATTATAGATTATAGATAGTCCATAGAAATCCTCCATCATTTGTCCTATAGCAAATTAAAGTTAAAATTTCTTAAAAATAGTGAAACCGAATTCAAGATAAGAAATAATTCAATTTTCAAATGTATAATTGAAGGTACTACCATACGTTTGTATAAAGTTTATTTGATGCATTTATGTCCCGTAATTCTAATAATTTTTATGATTACATATAAACATTAAACATGTCTCATATTATCTAAATTGGTACTCCATAATCCTTGTTAGTTTAGAACTATAAATCAAACTTATGTCTATTAGTGTTAGTAACAATACTTATTTATTACCTACCCTATAACATTTTTATTTTTAATGACTTCATGCAACATACCATTTTATTTTAAATTTTACATACATGCTTTATTATGGATTTGTGGTCAATTAATATCCATGCCTTTGACGACCATTGGTGCGCAAGTTTTAACAAGTGTCAATATTTGACATGACACTATAACAGGACAAAAATTAAGCGAGAGAAAACGAAGACGTGTTGATAGACCCTAATAGAATTTAATTCGATCATCTTTCATGTAAAGTACTTAAATAAGTAAAATTTTACGAGTACCTTTTGTACATTTTCTTAACAAAAAATCAAGAGTCAACTTAAAACAAAATCAAAACCCAACCCGTTTCTCAAATTCGAGCTCTAGATTTTGTGTAGCCTACCATTACAAATGGGATTTGTTAAACATCGCCCACAAATCTCTACATAAAGCCCACAATTATTTTTACTTTGACTCTTTTGCCCTTTTTCTAATTTTTATCGAAACCGTAATTCACTCTCACGAAGAATGTGGAGCTGGAGTGGATTGCCGAGGGACACCGGAGAGCCGTCATCGTCGCCGGAAAGCGAGATAATCCGGGGAAAAAATTACGAAAAGTAGGGGTGGCATCTGGTGTCCAGGTCAGACGCCAGCCCCCTGGTTCCGGCGGCCGGAGCAGACGCCACCACCAGAGGCTGGGCGTCCTGGCCAGGCGCCCCACCACTTCTGGTTTTTTTTTTTAATTTTTTTTTTAAAAAAAAAAACCCTGCCACCGTGAGCCGTCCTTCCCTCCGCTATGTGGCCGCCAAGTCCTTACCTTGCCGCCTCGACATTGCCGTATTTTCGGGTTATTAGAGTGTGGGTATGGATTAGATTTTTTTATTTTAAATTTAGGGCAATAAGGTAAATTCAATATAGATTTGTGGGCTTTATGTGGAGATTTGCGGGCGATGTTTAGCAATCCACTTGCAAATTCCAATTACCATCTTACCTTGTAGAGTTGTAGTCTAATAGATTCCCTTTGTCTCCCTCATCTACCAAAAAACTCCTCAAAATTTCGACCCCTTTCTTTTATTTTAATTTTTTTTAAAATAATTTTTTATCATCCCCACAAAAACACCAGTGTATACAGATCACAAACCTTAATACACAATTCTGAAACTCCTCTGAATCAAACACTCCAGAGCTTCAAATTGCTCTTCAATGGCGTAAAATAAATTTCACCCTAAATTAAACAGAAAAAACCGCCATTACCAATTTTCATTTTCCAAGCTTCGATTAACCAATTTCCACCAGATCTCCTTTCCTTCTTCTTCATTGATCTGAATCTTTCCCTAATTTTGAATAATCAGAGTGATAATAATTTTCTAGGGTTTCTGCTGAATTTCTTCGATCGAAGTAAACATGTCGGGAGCGGCCTCAGCGCTGTTCCTTCTAGACATTAAAGGTAGAGTTCTCATATGGCGGGATTATCGCGGTGATGTTTCAGCGGTTCAAGCTGAGAAATTCTTCACTAAGTTCATCGAGAAAGAGGTTTGTTCTGATCCATCTAACCTATTTCTTCATCTTAATTTGATTTCAATCAAGTTTAATTTTGATTATTAGTAGTGTTTTTTGGCTGATCTGATTAAATTGAGACTGTTTTTACAATTTTTGAATGTTTAATTTGGATAATTTTCCTTATTTTTAGTTGTTTTACTCGTATCTATTTGTTATTGGGGGCTTTGAATTGAGCTTATTTCGTTAGTAAAGCTCGATTTTCGCTGTTGTTCATGAAGTAGATCCCATTTAGAATGATGCAATTTGGATTGGCAACTAATGTAGGAAGAAGTTTTAGGTTTGGCCCATTAGGAAATGAAGGGTGGTTCTGAGATCTTTGGTAGCTGACTAGCAGTAGCAACTTTTGCCTGCTCACATTGTTTGATTGGTAGTTCATATTGTTGTTCAGCTTAGAATGTGAATTGGGGTTGAAGACTTATACTGATTTGCAATCTTATTAGCTGATTCTTTTGCTTTTATCTGATTGTAAGAAAGCTTTGTGTTTGAGTTTGACTTGGGAGTTTTTAGGGTGATTATGTTTAGTGATCATTGTTACTTGGAGATTTGGAGTTCGACAAAGGATTTTTTTTTTTTTTTTTTTTTTTTTTTTTTTTTTTTTTTTGTTGGGGGGGGGGGGGGGGAGTTAGAAAAATTCAGATTGACTATTTACAAAGAGTAATTTGTGTTTATGGATTTGTTTGAAGCTTCCAAGAGTGATAACGTACTAAACTTGTGAATTAGGAAATTAACACTAACACAATGTTTGGATTGAGAGAATTGGAGGGCAAGGAAGAGAAGAGTAAAGAAGGGATACATCCTCCCTTATTTGGATACCTTTTGGTATGAGGGAAAGGAAGAGAAATGGAAGACCTCTTTAATAAACCATATCCTTCCAATGTTGAAAAGATTTGGAGGGAAAATGTAACATTACCTTCTCCCTCCCCTCCCATTCCTTCTTCTTCCCTCCCTTCTCTTTCTCTTCCACTTTGCTATCCAAACAAACCATAAGTGATATAGATTAATGTTAGTGGACCAACCGAAGGATCATCTCTTGGGGGATTTGTGGTTGTTACAATTAATTGAAAGGTTTTTTTTGGGGTGAATTCCCTTGCTAGTACAGGGCAATTTATTTTGCCATTGGGGTGGACTCTTTGTGCAATCTTTTACACTTTGTTTGGATAGGAAGAAATGGAAGGAAAAGAAGAGAAGAGAAATGGAGGGGGACAAAATTTCTTGTTTGGGTAAAAGATTGGGGGAAGGAAGGGGAAGGAGAGGGAGGGATCAATTTTCCCTCTCTCTTTAATAACCATAATCTCTCCAAAATTGGAGAGATTTGGAGGGAAAATGGAGCTCACCTCCCCCTCCCTTTCTTTTCCCTTCCCTTCCTCCATTTTCCCTCCCCTTCTTTTCCTTCCTTCTTTGCTATCCAAACAAAGCATTAGAGTCGGCAAGATCTTCTTTGTAAGTGGTAATACACAACACCTGTTCAAAGAAGGAATGTTTGCATAAGTTTCTCTGTCCTTTTATGGTATGCCTGGTAGGTGAATCTTACTTTTTTATTTTGTCAATTGCTGCTTGTTTCAGGGTGATCCACAGTCGCAAGATCCAGTTGTGTACGATAATGGGGTTACATACATGTTTATACAACACAACAATGTGTATTTACTTATTGCTACTCGGCAAAACTGCAATGCTGCTAGTGTTCTTCTCTTTCTCCACCGTGTAGTTGATGTAAGCACCATTGGTAATCATTGTTGTTGTACTAATTTTTTCTGTTCCCGTATGTTTGTCATCCTTTGGAAAAGACCTGCGTTTTCTGGTAGACCGTTCATCTGAGAACAACTTTCATATGCAGGTGTTCAAGCATTATTTTGAAGAGCTAGAAGAAGAGTCACTTAGAGATAACTTTGTTGTAGTGGTAAGAGGTATTATCTCTCTACTTAAGACAATTCTGGTATGGCTGAGATTGATGCACTGATACTATGCCTCATCTGCAGTATGAGTTACTTGATGAAATTATGGATTTCGGCTATCCTCAGTTCACAGAAGCAAAGATCCTTAGTGAGTTTATTAAAACTGATGCTTATAGGATGGAAGTCACACAGAGACCTCCTATGGCTGTGACCAATGCAGTTTCATGGCGTAGTGAAGGAATATCTTACAAGAAGAATGAGGTCGGTTTGTGTTTCTAAGTTTTGTTTTCACCTTTGTTAACTTGCACTCACTGATCAGCTTCTCTCTTCTATTACAGGTATTTTTGGATGTTGTTGAGAGTGTCAATATACTTGTAAACAGCAACGGGCAGATTATAAGATCAGATGTTGTTGGGGCATTGAAGATGAGAACATATTTGAGGTGGATCAAATTTCCTCCCTACTGTTGCTAGAATAAGATCAAACTTTCAGATGTTGCTTTATTATGTCTTTGGACTTTTTTTTCCTATTGCTTGAAATTAGCTCATGGTCTTGTAATCATGTAATGAAGTCATAGCTAAAGCTCTGTTTTGCACAAGAAAAATGAAGGAGAAAATGATGACATGTTCTGCTTATAAATGACTCCTTTATCTTTCTTTGTGTGTTGTATGTGCATGTTTGTGGTTTCTTTTCTCGGGGTGGGGTTGGGTGGGGGAATGGGGGATTGCAATCCCTGTGTTCAAATAGTAACTTAGCATTACATATTTACTCCTAACTACAAGCGTGACTATCACTTTATTAATTCATTTTTTCTGTGATAAAGCTTCTGTAAGGTTGCATTTTTTCATTGGTAAAGGTAGTCTCTATACTGCTTGTTTAGTCATCTATGAATTGAAAGGCATTTGTAATTTCTCTCTAGGTTTTTTTAAAAAATGTAGCAAACCTAATAAGTAACTAATCTCCTTTGATGTAAAAATGGAAAATGTATAATATTGTTGAATTAAGTCAATTTTTTTTCCTTACCGTTTGCATCCTCTGTGGTTATATACTTATATTTTGATATTCTTTGTGGCAGTGGGATGCCTGAATGTAAACTAGGCCTGAATGATAGAGTATTACTGGAGGCTCAAGGACGAACAACAAAGGGGAAGGCTATTGACCTGGACGACATAAAATTTCATCAGTATGTTTAACTATTTTAAGATTTAAGTTGTAGTAGCTACTTTTGCTTTGTTTATGTTGGGAGTTGTAGGTGGAATATATGGTTGGTAAATTCTTGTATAATGATTGATCGTCTTTTCCCTTTTGCTATAGGTGTGTACGTTTAGCTCGTTTTGAAAATGATAGGACCATATCATTTATACCACCAGATGGGTCTTTTGATCTCATGACATATAGACTCAGTACTCAGGTTCACTTCCATGATTTCTCTGCATTTTCTCTCCTCTTTGCCACTTGCCCCAAAGACATTATATTTTTTTCTTCCTTTATAATGGTTTTTGATATTGTTTTGCTTCAGGTGAAGCCTCTAATTTGGGTTGAAGCCCAGATTGAGAGGCACTCCAGAAGCCGTATTGAGATCACAGTGAAAGCTAGAAGCCAGTTTAAGGAGCGAAGGTATAGCTATTATGATTGGTCAAACATGTCTTGTGCTTTCTTCTGTGCTCTATACTTGTGTAACTGTACATCTTCTAAGTTTCTTGTTTATGTGATCTCAATATTATAGCACTGCAACAAATGTTGAGATTGAACTACCAGTTCCATCTGATGCCACCAATCCAAATATCCGCACATCGATGGGATCTGCTGCTTATGCACCTGAGAAGGATGCTTTAGTCTGGAAAATAAAATCTTTCCCTGGTGGCAAGGTAAATTGTTGTTGGAATCAAAACCTGCCTTTTATGGATCATTATGACATACCTCTATAGGCTCTAATATAATAGGTTTTGAAATTTGTTTTTTTTAATACTCTGTAATGAACAAATTTCAGGAATACATGTTGAGGGCGGAGTTTAGTCTTCCTAGCATCACTAGTGAAGAGACACTACCTGAAAGAAAAGCTCCTATACGGGTGAAATTTGAGATCCCGTATTTTACAGTTTCAGGAATCCAGGTATGAAAACTTGGAGATTTTGAAAAAAGCATGCAAAATTTATCTGTTCTTGGCTTCTTGCATCATGTTCTGGTTCTGCTTGGTATCTCTTTTGCTTGACATGTGACTACTTATATCTTTAGGAGAAAACAGACATTGATAAACATAAAAATAGGTTACATAGTTTTGGTAGGACCTTCTTCCGCCTCATTTAACATGACATATTTTTTGCCTGGATTGTGGTGTTACCTATATACTTAGTTGAAGAAGGAGATTTTAGAGAACATAGTAATGAAATATGTTTCCTTCTCCACAACCTGATCAGGGATGATAATCTGTGTCCAATGATCATATATGTCCAATTTATCGAATTTTAATGATTTCAGTGATCATAATTCTTTTCTGCTTTCCCTTTGAATATCTCTACCTTGTGTACTGCTGTGCTGTGTCTAATATTTTCCATCCCTTCTCACACCTTTAGTATAAAGCTAGTATTTTCTGATTAATGGAATCTGAAAAGTAAAACCTTTTTCTCTTTCAGCTACTTCTTGGACATGAATAATATACTGTTAGATTTTCATTCTGATCTCTGTCTTGAACCAGAGATAAATGTGCAAATTGGCATCTTCTATTTTCTGTAGTTAGACCTATTCTGTTTTTTTTTTCTCCCCTCACCCTCTATACAACTATAAACTTTGCATCTGATATGGTCACTTTCATGGTTAGAATGTCAGAAATTTTTTGGGTTCTGAAACTTGGCTTGAGTTGAAATCAAATTAAACCCGTTGCCAGTTAATTACATTTAAGTCATTGCATTAGCTCCACTTCTTTTCTGCGGTATAGTTGATGGTCATGTAATATTGTACTATGAACTTGGGAACAGTAGTTGAAGCATTAGTGATTTTTTGTAGAAAGAAGCCAACGAAAAGTGATTAGACTTAGCACTTAGGATTTGGGTTAGGATATTGGATTTTGTTGAGTTGTGAAAGAAAAAGTCTGAGAGAGGAGGATACCAGAAGAACGAGGGAGGAATTGAGGAAAAAGTAGGAGTGTGTGTCTCTTAATCTCTTAAACCTCGTAATTATCAACCCCAGTGTACCCTCTCTCTTATTCGGTTCTTCCTATCAGCTTCCAATTACCATATATGATGCAACGATGCTGCCTCCCTTTGTCATCTAAGTTTCTTTTTAGCTTTATCATGTATTGGGCTGCATATATTTAGATAGGCCAGCAAGTGAGCAACCATTCTGTGCCTATTATCCATACATTTTTTGCTTATCTAATATCCCTAATGCTCCAGTGCTGGGATTAAATTATAGCAATTCTTTGGACTTACACTTTAGGAGGCCATCCCATAACTGAGGGATAACAGAGTTCATATTATGTGTGACCTTTTGGATACAGTTAAAGGACGTGGAGGATTCAAGAGTATCACCGGGAGATTCTTATGGGCTTATTTTATTTCATTATCATTTCTTATTTCTTTGTATCATCCCCCCTAGATATTCTGCTTTTCCCTTTAAGGTGAGGTTTTGTGTGGATTTTAGCTTTGGTACTGCTCAATACTTGGTATGCTCCAAAAGCGGTGGCCATGGATGGATTTATTACCTGACATTTGCTTGCTTTGTTGGGCTAATAGTGAATCTTCACTAGATGCATACTGTTTGCTACCTTTGGAAAAGACACTTTGCAGGCCGTGAAGAGTATTGGGGAAGACCTTCAAGTTTACTGTAGTGGGGTTTGCTACAGGGAAGGAGAAGAAATTGCTTTGGTGAAAAGGCAATAATGGCTATTTTTTGGTTTGTCTGGAGTGGAATGGCCTTTTATTTTTGTGAATGGTCTTGGTGTCTCAGTGTCTTGTGTGATTAATTGTGGGATATAGTAACTTTATAGCTGTCCCAAATTACTCGATTGGGAACGTACAAATCAATGGGCTATTGAGCAACAACTAAGGTGTCTAGAGCAATAGACATGGAGAAAGAGTAATGATACAGTTTGGAGAATCTGTCATGATTAACGTAGTTTATGTTTTGATCCCACATTCTAGTTTTGAACCTTTCCCATTTTCCTCGGAGAGTTTTCCTCTTCAGTTTGAAGTCTAATGGTCATACAAAGGCCTCAGGTATTTGTAGGTCACCCCTTTGAAGGAAATAGCTTGCAATTGTTGTATTTGTGCAGAAGATGAAAAATCAGTAGTTTGTTATTGTCGTGTCAAATGATCTGGTAAGGCTGAAGATGTTCTGGTGGCATGGGAAAGCAAGATCAATAGAAAGTGAATTCATAGATGTTTAACTAGATTCCTATGGAACTTGGTGGTACATGTAAAGAATAAGCAAGTATTTTATTTAGGGCAAAGCTCTCTCACATCCTACTTATTATGGAGTATGTTGTTTTAAGGGTTTTAAGTGTTAAACTGTTATTTTATAGGTTCGGACAAGTTTACGAGGCAGGTCAATCTTGGTTAAAGGTTGCAAAATATTCATGGTTTTTGTTGACCCAACAGGTTGAGGTCACATAAGTTTTTAGTTGTATGACCACTTATCCTAAACTTTTGTAAAGTTTTTGGATTAACCCAACAGGTTGAGTTCACATGTACTTGTGGGTTCTAGATATAAGTGAAATTCTGTTCAAAACCCAAAACTGCAGGTTGGTTTTAGGGTTGAGACTCTGGTCATGTCTTTAATTTTAACCTGCCTGTTGAAGCCAACTGCCTTTTTATGAGCACCATTATGAAAGTGTAATTGTTGGGCTAGGAGACCTTGTTTTTAGAACTGAAGGGATATGTGATTAGTATCTTGATGTCGGTAACTGTTGCTGACTTTCTGAGGCAGATGTGTTGCCCAAGGGGACAGTGGGTATATAAAGTAGTGCACATCCCATTAATGTCCAGCCTGAATTTGGGCACAGCCAACTGTAAGATGCAAACCTGATATTTCAATGTGGCTGACCTTGTATACTGTGTAGTAGATCTTTGTGATAGCTTCACTTCTGTTGTTGCCCTTTCCAGAAAGTTCCACTATATCATTATCTGTAGTCCCGTTGAATGTCCATCCCAGGTGCTCAAGTGAAAATATTTCCTGTATTTTGGTGGGTCCTGGAAAAAAAAGTAGGACAATGTAGTTCAAAAACTTAAGAAGTCAAATTCCAAAGTGTTCTAAATCTTGGTTAGTGGACAAATGTAAAAGTGCTGCATTATTGCCTATTGCCATGGTCTACATATCCCTTGCATATGTAGCCAACTTTGATCTTGAAAATTTTAGGTGATAAACACAAAGTGTTAGATTAAATCCATCACTTTACTACCTATGTTATTTTCTTGTCTGGTCAATTACTGCAGTCAGTCATATTGTCATGCCTTATATTTTCCCTGTTCAGTGTGCACTTTCGTTCTTTGTTTGCTCTGTTGATTGTCTTTTGAGCTCAAAACAACTGTTATGTATATCTGCAATACTTGTTCTGCAGGTTCGTTATCTTAAGATCATTGAGAAGAGTGGATACCAGGCTCTGCCATGGGTGAGGTACATAACAATGGCTGGTGAGTACGAGCTGAGGCTAATGTAATTCAACTGGTGATCCAAGTGCTATTTGGTATGTTTATTTGTATTTCGGGGCAAAAACTGGAGAGTTGGACTAAAATGAGCATGAAGCAACTTTGATTTCTTTTCATGGGTCAAGCAGTTCAGCAGTCCCTTGTGACGTATCTCCATTCTCGAGCTGATGAGTCTGTCATTCATTATCTTTGTTGCATACACTTGAGAGTCTATGATTGTGAAGTTAAGTCTCAGCCGCATAGCGTTTTGTTTTAATCTTTTGCTAGTTCATGTGCAGAATTTTACTTCACTGATGTGAAGATTGTGTTCTGCTGGTAATTTGATCTGTGAAAATGAATTTTTGCCAGTCACTTTTAATTCTTTGTTTCAGGATTGGTGATGTGGTTCATGTAAGAGAGTATGAATACCTGTTATGAAATTTGTAATTCTATCTAATTACCTCATTCTTTTGACTAATATTTCAGAAGATTGATATTTTGAAATGAATTGAATCAATACTTCCCAAGTTTAGAGTTCCATTTAAAAACTAGAATCACAATCACCTTTCTATCCTATATCCTTTCAACTGTTACTTAAGGTCAAGTACACATATTGACGAGATAGTTTTGCATTTGTGTTCGCCAAATAACATTGCATTGGAATATCGAGTAATAGTGTATTGATATCCTAAGTGGCGAATAATATGAAATCATGTAGTCAAGGGTTTGTTTATATGTAACAGAGTGTTGGCTATTAGTGATGTTGATCTTGGATGCCAATCTTCCTTAAGAGGCCTTGATATCTTTCGTTTTAAGACTTGTATGCTTGACAGTGCCTTTCCCTCAGGCCATTTCTGTTGGGAGATTTTCACCAAGACTTTGGAGAAATTTCGTAATCTTTAACCATAGTATTGTGAGCACAAAATTTACAGTTTAATGGTTGTATCCCTTAAGGATGATTCAGATTTGGACAGGAAAATGAATCCAAATGAATCAATCGGTGATATCAAACATTAATTTTACTCCAACGTCTTTGAAATAGTTGAACTAGTATCCTTTATAGACAAGTATATGAGAATAATGAGGCTGATAATGGCTAGTTTGCAAGTAATTGAAACGGTTTCCACAATGGCTTTTTTCTTAATCATGTAGCAAATTTCAAAGAAGGATAGATGCTTTTATCATAATAATAACAACAATTTCAGTGACTTCATTGTAGAGAATCTATCAGATATTCAGATGAAAGAATCCAAATATGCTGATCAAAGAAGCTTAACGAAACATATTGACTAGAAGATAGAAAACCTTGGATAAAACCGAACATTAAGTCTTACAATAAACAACACACACTACATCATACTCGACCACCATGCTAAAACCAAACATCACCGCTATATACTGCAGGATGATCATACTTCTACGACTATTTTACAATGACTACAATTTTTACCGCCATTAAAGATATGCACCGAACCTTTGATCTTGTATACTAATATATTTTTTCTTATACATCATCAAGAGTGCATCTTTCTATTTATATGGCTTTGACAAGATTGTAGTCATTGCAAACGCTTCCTGTACTAATGGGGACATACGCGAAAACATACCTACTAGAGCCTCTAGTCACTCTTTATTCTTAAGTTTGCCTTTATTTCTACTAGAAATACTGCTGATATATTTCTAGCTAGTTGTCTACTCAAGAGTAGAGAGCCTATCCAGGAACTGGTTGAAGGTGTCATCGCTCTCTAGCATGCTAACCCTTATGTACTTTGAGGAGACTCCAAACTTTGGCCCTGCCCTTGCTCTGATCTTTAGCTCATTCATCAGCTTTTCGGCATCTTCACCTGTTTTCAACTCCATCCATGCATATGCTGCAATCAAGCAGAAGACGCGAGTTAATGACAAATATTAGGCAAACAAACAGCAAATACCTTTGAGGCAGAGTACATATATCATATAGTATGCTTATACCTGGATTGGGATGAGAGGTCTTGTTCATGAACTTGCAATACTGTGGGAAGTACTCTGGCAAGTTGAAGGCACCGCAACGTTTGATGGCAGCTCTGAGTCTTGTCCAGCGCTCAGCCAACATACGGTGGCTGAACTCAAAAAACTTTTCTAATGGTTGCTCTATCACCTCAGGGTTACCTTTGGAAAGCTTACCATTGGCAAGGTGCTCATAGCTATTAGCAACAAACTCGAGTATCTTTGCTGCTCGAAGTTGCCCTTCATGGCAAGTTCCAATGGTCACCAATAACATTAGTTTTATCATCCTCATTGCAATTTCTTTGTCCTTCACAATTGCCCACCTTCAATATAAACCATAATCACAATTTTAGTTAATATTCCACATACAATTTTTCGTTTTTTTAGGCTTCATGACATACAATTCAGATCATCAATTAGTTATATTTACACATCTTTTTTTTTTTTAAATGTATCTATCCACGAAGAGATCATTCCCCTTATTCTAAGCACTCCAAGAATTAAATTCTCTATTTGTTTACTACAGTATTACTTAGCACGGTTTGTACAGATTATTAACCTTTTCCCCATTTAAACATATATATTTATGTATAAGGAGCCACAAAAGTTGATTGATGCATACACGTAATTTGAACTCAAGTCTCGTGTACACTGACCTAATATACATGTAAGAATTGATATATGACACATTTGAAATTATTAATCATATTTGCATAGCATAATCTAATGAAAGTTTAGAGTTGATAAAAGTTGAGATTAATTTAGACGCTTACCCAACACGGGAACCAGCATGGCCAGTGGCCTTAGACAAGGTGAACAACATAACATCATAATCAGCAGGAGCAGTGATGGGTGTATACTGTGGCCAGTAGTAAGCAAGGTCACATATCACCATCCCACCTTCCTTCTTCACCACCGGCTCACGGAGCCTACCATCCGGGTTGTTTGGAGTTGTCACCACTTCAATGTAGGGGCCTTCCTCGTCGAAAGTGTTAGCATCTCCCTGCCATTTGAATATCTCCGATTTCTCTTCCTCTAATGCCTCCTCATAGCACTGCCAAGCAAGAGAAAAGGAGAAACTTGTCGTCAAATATCATTTTATGAGTAGTGTATGATATATATTATATTTAGGATAATATTTGTCGCAGATTAGGATATATTAAATGTATATTTTGTATGTTTATCGTATCTAGGATTCCTATCGTAATTAGGCCTAGCGTTGTAAACTCTATATATTTGATCAATGGTACACACTCTAAATCAAGGAGTTTTTCCGAAATCTAACATGGTATCAGAGCCAGCGTGACACAAAGGTCACGGGTTCAAATCTCATCCGCCCCTCCTTCAAAGTGGAATTAATTCGCACCAGGTATGGGTGGGCCTGTGTTGCATCCACATTTCAAACCCAAAGGGCCTTTCATGTGAGGGGGAGTGATAGAGTATAAAACATATTCCTGGGCCTCAGCCATGAGTTTAAGCTTAAGCTTTTGGTTGAGATGGTCCACTAACATGGTATCTAACAGTGAATGTATGACCTTATCTTATACCCTAGGATTAAGCCAACATGCATGCACGTATTATCATAAGGGCATGCTTACCTACTAAGGCCCTGTTCACTTCACCTTAAAAAAGTAATATTATCATAATTTCAGTTCAGTAAAAATAAGTCCAGTTCAGTAAAAATAATTTCATTTCAGTAAAAATAAATTCAATTCAGTAAAATCCAGTTTTCTTAAAGAAGAATTATAATAGAAAATCAGTAAAAATAATTTCTATTCAGCAAAAATAATTTCAGTTTAGTGAAAGTAATTTAAGTTCAGTAAAAATAATTTAAGTTCAGCAAATATAATTTTGTTTCAATAAAAATAATTTAAGGTGTTGTTTGGTTGATATGGGATTTTATTTCCCATAGGAAATTGCATTTCATTGGAATTAAATTCCCACATTCAATTTCCTAGGAATTGCATAAAGTTGTTTGGTTGCTATAAAGGAAATTGTAATTCATGGGAATTTTGAGTTACCAAGGGAGGCCTTGGTAATTTATTTCCCACATTTTGTAGGAATTGGAAATTCCCATGAATTTGCAATTCCTACATATTTCACATTTATAGCCAACCAAACAAACCCCCAATTTCTAAATTCCCATGATTTTTCAATTTCCCCATTTTTTTTGTTCAACCAAACAAGGCCTAAGTAGTTTAGCAAAAATAAGATGAAGTGAATGGGGCCTAAATTAATTTTTAAATAGTGAAATCATCAATAAGTATATTTAGGCCCTGTTCTTCGGACTTATTTTTAATTCTGTTCAATTCAGTTAATGTCGTTTTAGTAGAGCTCAGTTCACCCCATTCTAGCTAGCTCAAAAAAACAAGGCAAATATAAATTAGTCGCAATCATTGAAATACTTAATAATTAGCAATTATAGTATCAATCTTACTTTACATTTATAGTCACTTAGCTTCAATATAATTTAGACAACGTTATTTCAGTATATTATTAATTGATTAAATCTATATTATCGGATGAATTTTTTTTTTTTTTTTTTTTTTTTTTTTTGAAAGCATGTTATCGGATGAATATGATTAAGTTGTAATTGCCTTATTTTCTTGTTATCAAAATGGCAAAAATCATAATTTGAAATAACATGAAATAAAGTGGGTTGTTCGACCGGCCAATTCAACATGATCATCATCAATGCTTCATCTAATTATACACATGACCATGTGCTCATGGTTGTTCATATGGAGAGCATACATCTAAATTTGCATGTGTTAATTTAAGTAAACTTTCATAATTAACAATATTCTCTTAGCTTTATTTGGTCTTTCAATCTTCAACATATAATTTCAAACATAAATGTTTCCACTTTTCGTATAGACTAAATTATTAAATTTTCGTAGTATATATTGTCGGTCCATTCTACATTATATTAACACATTAAATGCGTGGCTTCCACAATTGAGTATATATGTAATAATATGAGTTATATATATATAGTTGCATTGTAATAATATTTTTTTAAGAGGACCCATCGAACATAAATTGCTTTTTGAAGCACTTAGCATGTTAACCATTACTTAATTCTAAACATTTGACAGCCTTTTCCTATTTTTTTGATAATTATTAATGTATATAAATTAAAAAATTTAGGGAAAAGATGGTGAAAAAGAATAAAGGTACAACATAATTTATTCCCCATTTACATTTTTAATTCTTGGTCTTATGTTGAAAGGGATAAATAAAGAAGGATGGGATCCAATCAAACAATATTATCTTGCATGATTGTGGAGTGAAAAATAATTTAAAGAATTCTTGCAACTTGGTTTTTTTTTTTTTTTTAAATTAGAAAAATAATTGAGAATAAATAAATCATAGAAAAGTTGAGTAAATTAAATTTATGTTCTTTTGCTTTATTTTATGGATGCCAAATTAATTAAGTTGGAAGAAATTGAAACATGTTACATGCAAATGTTTAGAATAAAGTAAGCAAAGGTTGCAGCAACAGACACGGCTTGTAACACGTAAAATAAACCACACAATTCGTAATTAGCATTTGACACAACCTATATTCTCGCTACCATATAATTTAATTACTATTAAAATTGGTAATCACTTCACTATTATTTGACAAATCAAGCTAATTAATTTCATTCAATTCTATGAATTATTGGAGTGTGTGTAAAAAATTTGATTAACTAATATGTGGTATAACTCCTACCTCTAATAAACACACCGATTGCATGTTGGAGTCCTCATATTATGGGTTAATATTATAAAATTAATGTCGTAAATTATTTTATGCACCTAGAATAAGTGTTACCTATTTGCTTTACCATGACCCAAAAAAAAAAAAAAAAAAAAAAGAAAAAGAAAAAGTTACCGAGTAATAGGGCTCAGCACAAACAACGGGAATTTGCTTTTTCTTGTTGATATTATTATTTGGTGTTACGTTTACGGTGGATGCTAAGGCACGAAGGGCTACGGAGAACAATTGAGATGATCCTGTTCCTCCAATGATGTACCGGCCTTCGGTCACAGCATTCCCCACCACGCGGTGCACCTGGTGCACGGCTTCACTAAACTCGGGCAGCTGGTAGAAGACGCCACCCTCGTCGAAATCAGCAAAGTAACTCATAAGGTCCGATGCCTTAATGGTCACTTTGCACTTGTCATCAACGTTCTTCCAAAATGTGTAGTAGATCTTTGGATCACCTCTGTATTCCGAAACAAAAATTAAATGAATAAAACATATTGGTGATGAGTAACCAAAAAAAAATAAAATTATATTTACATGTGATAGTGTAATACTATCTCAGATTTTTTTTTAGTTGCAACTTTTGGGTATTATTTGAGAGATATAAAATATTCCAAAGTTGCAATAAAAAAAAAATCGGAGCTAGTATAAGAAAACTAAATTAACTAGATGGGTCAAGTTAGGTAAAGTAATAGAATTTCTTTTAAAAAAAAAGAGTATATAGCGAAAATAATTCTAAGAAACGGTCCAAAAGTTTAAAAAACAAATGGAGTACTTAAATATTTAATATTTATTTTTTGTACGAAGTATTTTGGTACAAGTATTTAATATTTTTTGATGTATAGTTATAAAATGGAAGTACATAGATTATGCACAAAGGATGGCTAAACAATAATGCATGCATTCTAATTTCTAAAAGAAAAACAGATAAGAAAAGAGATAATATTTCGATCTATTGGAGAAAATGATTTCTTTTAATTTGCATTTGATAGAAATAATTTCTGTAAAAAGTTCAATTTTTTGTTAATTTCCTTTTCATGCATGCATTGAGCTAATTTTCTTGTAGAATCTCTACAGATTAATTTTTATCCAATGCATGTCACTAGAATGGTGTCCAGAGTAATTTGAAGAGGATGATATGCATGTCCCCAAAAAAGAAATCCTTAATATAGTTTTGATAAAGATTATCCAAATTTGATTTACAACTAAAATAATTTGCATAAGATAAGATAAGATTAATTTAAATTAATATAAATGGGGTGAATAAAACGCATTATATATATATATGATACGGAGTACTATACAGTAGAGTTATAGTTACGGAATACATTATATGTAAAGAAAAAAAAGGTGGGTTTTGTGTTTGATATTGCAATAAAATTTGGTCACATGATACACAACCAAATACACACAAAAAAAAAAAAAAAAAAAAAAAAAGGTGCTCCTTGTGATTTCTTGTGATTTTTATAACGGAAGAAATTTTGCGGGCTAAAAAGATTACATTAATTCAGTATTGAAGTAATTGATTTTAAAAAATCAATTTTGAACTCGAATGATTAATTTAAGATGGTTTTTTCAAAAAAAATATATATATCACGAAAAATAAATTCCCGTTGGTGCACCCACTACTCTTCCACTCCCACAGAAGGGGAAAAAACAAAAAAAAAAAAAAAAAAAAAAAAATCTCATGTATGCATGCATGGTAAAATCGGTACCAAATTACTTAAAATTTCTCCTTTTGAATAACAAACATAGATATGTGTTATTGGTATATATTGAAAAGAAATTGTCAAGTGATGTTACCAAAAAAAAAAAAACACAAAAAAACATATGAACAAAGAAATTAAACTAACCGATCAAGGCTAATGACAACATCGTTGGCATTGCAATAACCATTACTTTTAACAACACCGTTACCATTATTGCAATTACCATTACCATTGCCATTAGTAGTATTAGTTTTCTGCTTTCCCTCAGTAAGACACATATTTTCTCTCTCTATATTATTATTTAGGACTCAAAATGAGTTTTGTGTTGATTCTAAGAACCTTGGGTTCAGCCTATTTATAGGGGAAAAAAGTGTGACAAGAGTATTATTTAATAAATCACCAACTTACTATACTTTGATAGTACTCAATTTTTATTTTTGGATATTTTACATTGTCTATTATATTTTTTCTTTCTAAATTTATTTAATTAAAATTATTTCATGTTTGATGAGTTTCTTTTTAGTAATTTTATTAATCTTTTCATCAAATCCCACGTGATATTTTTACATATTGTGATCTGGCATGTAAATCATGATGATAGTGCAAAGCTGTGAAGTATTTGAGGAAACTGTTTTTGGTTAAGTGTGAATGAGATCAGTGGGAGATTTGACCACATTAAATAATTTTTTTTTATAGTGCTTTTACTGATATTATTTAGTACCTAAAATAGAAGATTTCCTGCAATTTTATGTGATATTTTGGATGAAGTTGTGTCAAAAAATTAAAGTGATTGGTTCAAAAAAAAAAAAATTAAATAAATTGATGGGTATGTTTATATTAATAAGTATTTGCTAAGGTCTCGCTCACTTTATCTTATTTTTGCTAAATTGAAATTAATTTTACTGAACTTAAATTATTATTGTTGAACTTAAATTAATTTTATTGAACTTAAATATATTTTGTATAACTAAACTATTTAACTGATTCTCTATTATATTTCTTATTTAGAGTTATTGATTTTTGCTGAACTGAAATTATTTTACTGAACTAAATTATTTTTACTGATTTTCTAGTATATTTCTTCTTTTAAGTTTACTGATTTTTACTCAACTAAAATTATTTTTACTGAATATTTTTTTAAGGTGAAGTAGACAAGGTCTTAGTTATAAAAGCTTATTCCTACTAATTAAAATTACAACTTTACAATGAACACAAAAAAAAAAAAAAATCTAGATATTTGAAGGGATTTCTATTTTCTATCCAAACTATATGATATATTGATTGTGATCATATTTTATGAACATTGGCTAAATCTGGCATTTTGATATTAATATCATACTTACTAATTTCTTATTTATTGGAATACTTTTATATATAGTTTAAAATAGTATATACAATATATACTTTGTACATATATTTTAATTTTGTGTTATAAAAATATAAAAGACAAGGGGAAGGCTGTGATGTCGACCTAATTTACAAAAATCTTAGTAACCCTTAACATATACCATTGAAGTTGCAAGCAAATCCACATATTATTGTAGATTGTTGATTTACATAATATTATTTTTATTGCTAGCAAATCCTTACCATTTATCATTGAAGTTTTTATTGTAGATTGTAGATTTACATATTATTGTTATTGCAAGCAAATCCTTAACATTTAGGTCTCGTTCACTTCACCTTATTCTTGCTGAAATTCGGTCATTAAATAATTTTTAGTGAAATTAATTTTATTGAACTTAAATTATTTTTGATGAACTGAAATTATTGTTATTGATTTTCTATTATACTTCTTCTTTATGTTTTAACTGAACTGAAACTATCTTTACCGAACTAAACTTATTTTTATTGAATTGAAATTAATTTTATTGAACTGAAATTATTTTCACTGAATATTATTTTTTTTAAGGTGAAGTGAACAGGGCCTTACAATTGAAGTTGCCCTTATCTAATATCAACATAGGATTTCAATGATTCTCAAAGCCCAAAAAAAATTGTGAATCTCTATTTTGCTTATAATTGAGAAATAATAAAATTTAAATTTTATTGAAGGATTTGATGGATGATCAATAGTTCAATACACTAGCTAGTAGACTCAATAGTCAAGAGGGTGAGGTGGGTAAAGAGTAAGGGTATGTTCACATTTACTGAACTGAACTGAACTGATTGGAGCTGAACTGAATTGAGCTGAAATGAATATTTTATGAAAGAAGGAAATTAGGAGTTGAACTGAACTGAACTGATTGGAGCTGAACTGAACTGAACTGAAATTAAGTAAATGTGAACAGGCCCTAAGGCTATGTTCATTTCAACTTATTTCAGTATTAATCCGACCTAATCATATCTAAAATATTATCTTTTTATTTGTGTTTATTTATCATCGAATATCTGTAATTTTATTTTTTTAAAAATTATGTTAATTTCATATTTGAAAAGTGAATTATTGTAATACGAATTTAATGATATCTCATTTGATAAATTATTATAGTATAAATTAGTATACGGATTAGGTCAACGTTTAGTCAAATATGAAAATTAGGCTTCGTTCACTTCACCTTATTTTTACCGAACTGAAATTATTTTTACTGAACTGAAATTATATTTGCCGAACTTAAATTATTTTTAATGAACTGGAATTATTTTTGCTGAAATTAAATTAATTTTTTCTAAACTGAAATTAATTTTACTGAACTGAAATTACTTTAGCTGAACTGAAATTATTTTTACTGATTTTCTATTATATTTCTTCTTTAAAGATACTGAATTTTACTAAACTGAACTTATTTTTACTGAATTGAAATTATTTTTACTAAATTGAAATTATTTTTACTTTCTATTATATTTTTTTTAAGCTGAACTGAACATGGCCTTAGATAAGAAGAAAATGAAATGAACATAGGAACAAAATTCATCTAGGCTGAATTGTGTGAACAAAAAACCCCTTGCTTTTGCGAGCCTCTCTTGGACAAGTCACATTTATTTCTAAACCCCAAATAAATAAATCTATTAATTAAATAGGAACAAATTAGAATACTTTAGCTAATAATAGCAATAATTTCAATTTTCAAAAACTATGAGTTTATTTTCTGGTTTCATCTTGTTTGAATTGTGATACGGAGTACTCTATTTTTAATAATCATGCATGGGTCTTGTTATCTTGTAAATCATAATTAATCATGTTTGAAATTATATTGTTATAAGTGGACAAATACATGTTTATTGTTTCCATTTCATACATCAAAGTAACTTTCTTAATCGATTCATTTTTAACAAACTTTTCTTTCTTCTATATGATTGTTTTCTTCAATAAAAAAAAAATGATTGATTAAGAAGAATGTTAACTAAAGTTCGATAAAGTGACGAGCTCATATTAATTCTGATAAGGACTAATAGATGATTAATTTAGAACTAAAACATGTTCAAATTACTTCTAAGTTCTATAAAAGTTAGTTCGATCAAATGTTATAATAAATTTAGATAATAGGTATGCTTAAGTTCAAATACTTGAAAATCTTGTGAACTAAACGCGCTTGACTTCAATTCAAAGGTTAGACATGTATATTCAAACCAATTATATAGATCATTATTTATCATGTCACAATAATTATGTGTTCAAGACTACTCTTAATTAACAATATGTCTTATGTCAATTGCAATAAGTGCATAATTATCAGCTTGTACATCAAACCCGCGGTTAGGTTACACATTCACGTGTGCAAATATTGATTGAGCGCCAAAAGGTTTATAATTTCGTTGTACTGTATATTGAGTGATCTTATTCGCTTATATTTCCAATTATGCTGGATGTTCTGAATTAATGTTATACTGTCCCTTAGCCAATCGACATGTTTTAAAGGGCTTTAACGACACGTAGCAATCTATTATTAGTAGATAAAGATGAGAAAATATAATTAGCAACTTTAGCAGATAGCGACAATAATGCATCTTTTCTGAAAAACTTTTGTCGTATATTGTTGATTGGTTTATTATTTGTTGTATGTAGTTAATTTTATTTTTGTTATTTTTCGTGTACGTAGATCTGGTTATTCATAAGGCGCTAATTAATTCATTTAATTAGGTCAATTCCTCATTTACAACATATTAAATATATAATAATTATTCATCAATCAATTAAGTAATACGTATAATTGTAGGATGATAGTTTCTCTTTTGGTCATATATTTGATTGATTTTATTTGCTCATCGTTCCAATTAAAGTAGATGTTATGTCACTTAATTAACAATTATTTGATAATCTAACAATAAATAATAATATATTTTTGTGAGGGTATTAACAACATCAAGCTACATTTTACACACATTCCTGCAACTAATGTCTTAAATCCTATGCTAATCTGAATATTCAACTTTAATTTTATTACTTTTCTTGTGTTAAAAATTGTAATTTATCAATCAGTCAGTGTTTATGATTGTATATTATTGACATACATCAAGAGTTAATGACTTTGAGTGTTAATTTTCATCATAATGAATATATAAATAATTTTCTTTTTAAAAAAAAATACTTTGAGCTAAAGTATGCATCTAGTACTCTAGATACATAAATAAAGCTATTATTTAATATATTTTTATGTATTTCCTCCAAAAAAAAAAAAAAAGTCAAAATGTGGTCTAAATTCAATTCTAATCATAACATGGCGATGATAAATGATTGACAATTGACTCTTTACATTGCATGGAACCATACATGCATGTTACTACGTAATAACATGCATTAAGAATATCTTCCTTGGTCGTACGTAAATGATAATTAACACTATATTCGCTAGAATACATACCTAGTTTTAGTGATCGGATTGATGAATAGTCTTGTCTAAATGTCAACCATATGCTTAAACATTATGTTATTTATGTACCTTATGCTTTAGTGTACTTATACTTGAAATTTTTGAATGATTCTCTAATCTAATATATCATGCATATCTTATTGACTAATTCATTCTTTCATTAGCAAGAGCATATTCATAGCGGTGAATCACATACATGTTGAAAAAATGACAATAATCAATTAATAGTGCTATCCTTCAAACTCCTAAATCTTTCAAACTTGGCTCCCACATCTGGCAAGACATGGGGAAAGGGTGGAATGAAGTTGTTTTCTTCTTCAGCTACTTGGGTAGTTGGCCAAAACTCTAAGGTTTCTTTCTGGTATGATCAATGGTGTTCTACTAGGACTCTTAGACACCTTATTCCAGGGCATCTGACTCAATCTGAAGATTCTCTCACCGTGGGCCAAGTGGGTAGCCCTGGGGGGATGGGACTTCTCTGTGATCTATATTTCTCTTCCTCCTAACATT